GATTTGATTGGAATCAGGTGTGTTGAAGCAGGGTTCAAACTAAAACACGCTGAATACTGGCTCTCCCGGACCAGGAGTGAGTATCACTGATGTGAACTATTTCCCTCTGAAACCAAAACACGGAGAGCAACGAACGTTCAGAATCAGGACGGTAAATCAAGGTGACACGTGGAGAAAAGAGAGTTTCTGTTTCAGTGAAGTCAGTTTTCAAAAATCTGATTTATTAAGTAACTTTTTTTGTTTGTGGTTTTGCTTTTTCTGTAGGCCGGCAGGAGTTAATATTAAAACTTGCACAAAATCTTTTTGACAAATCACATTAGTTAGAAATGTCTGTTTCTATATGATAATGTGTATTTATCAAAGAACAGTTGAATTAAAAAAAAATACTTTTTGAGCAGTTACAATATTAAAGTTGTAAATAATAAAATTATATAAATATTTTATTGTAAATAATAACATTTGAGCAGTACATTCTTATATTCTTGCAGAATTCCCAACATTACAAATTGATATGGTTTTAATAAACTGCTTTGCATAATAAAAACCCAATCACTGTATCTATATTACACATCATTTCAAATCATTTTTTGTATATTCTGTGTTGCAACTGCAACTGTGGGTCATGCTAAATAGTCTTTATTGAAAATGGGCAAAATATAAAGACAGGCTAATGATGTTCATACAATAATGGATACATAAAACAACATGGCAGCATGGGTCCAAAGTAGAGATATTTACCCATAATGCACAGCTCCATGCTTGGTGAAGACCAAACAGCTGATACCAGCTGCCTGCATGGTGGTGGAGTGCTGTTGGTTTGGGCTCCTCGCTGTCTTTAGGCTCGTTTCCACTATGGGAACTCCTGGGTAACTTCACCAGACCTTCACGGTACGTGTGTTTCTCTATTTCACTGGAACTCATTTGCTGGGCCATGTGAGTAACCCAAAGAGTACCTGCTCGGGGTTTGTTCTCGGGAAAGGCCCAGTAGAGTTGCTGGGCGGAACTTGTTAACTCGTGCTGATAGGTTGTAACTTAGTAGGAAATTATATTGACAGATATCACTAAACTTCTGGTGTTTGCCAAACTGAAAGAGTTGCTGTTGGTGAAGCAAAATGGAGAAAATAAACTAAACAAGCAGTGTTCACGCTGCTTTAAAATCATTGTTTCTCAACTCCCAGTGCTGTAATTTACGCTGCTTTACGGTGTCCCACAGAGCGCCGTAGACAACATTTCTTCTGGTCGTTGAGCATCACTTTTCACATCACGCAGCCGCTCTCCTCACTCGTCCCCTGATCAGCAAAGCCATGGCCAGGACTGGACCTAAATGTGATTCTCAATTAACTGAAGAAACTTTATAAAAATTGTGTAAAATTTTCTCCATAACCAGATAAGAAACTGAAAAAGTCTAACTTATGATCAGTGTGATGAAAAGGTCATTTATAAAATATGGGCAGCCACACTTCCATCCATAAGTTGTCATGAATGGTAATCTGAGTGTGAGTTCTCAGTGCTCGAATCCAGAAATCACGCAGAGTTGGCTTCCTCCCTGCAGATGTGTTGGTTCAGCAGCCGGTCAGAAGAACTCAGGTGTATCAGCACAGATGGGGGAAATCTGCCCAACAACCACGGGAGGTCCAGGAACAGGTCCAGCACCCACGCACCAAGAGTCACGGAGTGGCAGCTATCGATGGGAAACTGAGAACGTCGGGTTCCTGCAGACTCCCAACAATTTACATAAGCACTGCAGAAAACCTTATCTCTCCTTGATCGTTACATAACCACCTGGAAAGACATCGTTCTGCCCCAGTTCGTGACATCCTTGTTTGTGTGTACGTGCAGGTTACCACTCACCTCCTGTCACTCTGACAACCTAGCATTATAGGAGCACCAGCATTTTTATATTTAGACTGTAGTTCATCCATTCCCCTGCCTCTGATAAAATCTCACGAGTGAGTGTGTGTGTGTGTGTGTGTGTGTGTGTGTGTGTGTGTGTGTGTGTGTGTGTGTGTGTGTGTGTGTGTGTGTGTGTGTGTGTGTGTGTGTGTGTGTGTGTGTGTGTGTGTGTGTGTGTGTGTGTGTGTGTGTGTGTGTGTGTGTGTGTGTGTGTGTGTGTGTGAGACAGAGAGAGAGAGAGAGAGAGCGAGAGAGAGAGAGAGAGACTGGAATTTGTCTCTATTATCAGAGGAAAACTCTGATTGGATCACCTTGACAAAGGAAGGCAAACGGAGTTCCTGTTCTCCTTTTTATTCTTTATCTGAGCAGAATCAGACGTATTTTTGCTCCAAATCTTTGCCGCCTGATAAAAGTCTCGGTATCTACAGTGTTGAACGATGATAGGTATGGTATTTGGAGCCAGGTCTGGAGTGCTAAAGACCTACCAAACCCATCTTGCCACCTGCAAGTTTCCTATCATGAATGCATGTAGGTTTCACACTTTTCCCCAAATTCTGCTCAATAATGGTGCATGAACACCAGATTACATCCGTGACATAAAGAGGCTCCTGTCCCTAGAGCTAGTCTTTACTTGCATAATCAGGACATCATAAACACAAAAATTCACATTTTACTTATTTTTTAGTTTGTTGGTTATTTACAAGCATCAATGTCTTCTGCATCAATTTCTGATCCAGCCAATTTCTGTAAAGAAATAAAGAAGAATGCAAAAGTATGAAAATTAATAAAATAACATTCAGTGAATAACGTTTAGGAGATCTGAGCAGATGTTCACTTTAGAGTTGGGTTCTGTATTAACAAGCAAACATTGAAACCTACAATAAGGGTCCCTAATGTTAATCAGTGCATTATTAAGCATTAATAAACAAAGGGTCTCTTTATTAACAGCACTGTTATTGTTAACTATCAAGTGTCCTTAGGACTAGGGCAAAAGGCTGGGGGGGCTTAGGGTCAGTAATGCATAACTTAATATTAACATTAATATTACTTTCATTACTAGTTTATTAATGCTTAATAATGCAATAAGTAATTTGATAAATGGACCCTTATTGTAAAGTGTTACCCAAACTTTTTTATGACTCCCTGTTGTACTGACCCTTTATTTATTAGGTACCTGACCTTATCGGTTCACAGTAAAAATAAATAAAAGAACATTTTAAATGTAAATTTTTTTATACTTTTACTATATTTTTTAAAACTTCCCAATAACTTTCAAGGATTCAAATGTTTACATTTTTGGTACAATGAATGATGAGGTGTCTTATTAAATAATCCTGCTGATTTAACACCTGGATGCACTGTAAACGTGGCATTTTCCTGCTGCAGGGGGTCTGGATGCTCCTACATATCTACAGAACTCTATGACATGTTGGAAAAATAAATTGAGGATTTAGTTTGTCAGTTTCAAGGCAAAATCAAAATAAAAATCATAAGTGAAATGCTATTTCTATAATAAGCCTGATGAATCGCTTTATCTCCTGAACCTTATAATATTTGTTTTTTATTATTCTTGTAACTAAGGTTCTTAAATTTGCTTTTACTTGTAAACTGTGGCCGTTTACTGTCAAGAGTTATCGTAGTTCGTTCATGCAGCACATTATGGATACCGTTGTTCTTTGAATCAGTGCCGCCTTCACTCCTATTCCACTTTTATACTCTTTATTACCATTATTCATAATTCTTACTGGACACAGTATTGCAACTTTCTTATTCAAAATTTGGACTTTAGTCTAAAAATTGCAAGAAAAAGCATCTTCCTCCTCATCTTTCTTTATCTTCTGTGGCTCTAAAATGTTGTAACAGCCAAAATATCCCTTTCATAGTAGAATATTTTATAACGCGTGGAAAAAAATCCTCAAATCATGACGACACCTTGGAGATTTTATAGAAATTACACCTCGATGGTGACCTTTGCAGGCAATTGGTGCCCAGCTGAGGAAGTGCGTGTGACTGGGCCAGAATGCTGTTGTGCAGATGAGGGCACCGAGTCTCAGCTCCTTCAGATGTTTGCACTTTCGTGGAAGTGCATACAATTATCCCCCCTCCACACAGGTGGGGAAACTCCATCTGTACACTTTAGACTTTTCAAGTATCCAGCGTCTGTGTTTAACTTCCCCTTTTCAAAGTGGAGAACAACCTAATAAAAAAAATCTCTTGATTTGGTTTGCTGCACTCTGTCATTTAAACCCTCATTCCCCTTCATGTGCAGCAGCAGGTGTTCTAATAAGGTATTATTTCATCATTTAGATCTTTGGTGTGTTTATTCCAAAAGTACTTAATGAATTAGTCAAGATTTTCCAAACAGCAGCACCCACAGAGCAGAATAACCAGGTTGTGAGAAAGGTTTGTTGTGGTCTGTGATTGGCTGCTTGTAGCATGGTAGTGCAATAACTCTGCACAGTGTTGCGTGTGAGAACCCCTGGCCTTCTGCCAGCTGAGAGGCTGAGTTAAAGCATAGGTTGCATAAGAACTGAGGAATGTTTTTATTTTGAAAAGCTGTGTGTCACGGAATATGTGTTTAAATTGGCAATCTGCATGGTGAGAAGTCACGTAGAGCTTTTTATTTCCACCTAGAAGTGAAACTACTGCTTCTTTGATTCTTGTGGTAAAAAATAGTTTTGATAGAATATTTAGGCTGGTTTATGCCGCTGAAAGAAAATTAAACAAATAATGGAGGTTTTCATCAAACAAATATTGTATTTAAATAATAAACTTTTTTTAAACTATTTATATTACATTTTATTTGCTTCAAATTTAACAATAAAAGTTTACTTTAGTGTTAACTAAAATAAAAAATAAATAAATACCTGAAATGTTCTTGGTACGCTTTTGTAGTTTCATTAAATTTGTGTTTGTAAAAGGAGCAGTAACTTCATTTTACAGTAAAAACTGAAACTCTAATTTCCCTTCCCTGGGACAAACAAAGCTTTTCATTTCATTCAAAACTGCGTCAAACCTGAATCTAAAACGCCATCTTGAGGCTGAAAGTAGAACGCGCTAAAGTGCCTTTCCTTTGTAGAACTTCAACTCCCAGCAGTCAATTCGGCCGTCTGCACTTCCGTCTCTGATGTGGGAACGACCAACGACCGCGCGCTGCCGTAATGGACGACAGAGCTGTGAAAGCAATATTGTTCGACTTGGATAATACGTTAATCGAAACGAGTCGGGCTGGTGGAGCGGCGATTCTCAAGGTGATTTTAAAAAATGGACATTTTCTTGTGTTTTTCAATATTTTAATGACTTCTGCTGATTAAAGGTCTGTACGTCGTTTACTTAAATTCACTGTTCTGATAAAAATATATATCTTCGTGTTAACTGTGTACAAAACGTAATTCCTGTAGTTTTCTTTAGCTAACAAGTATTAAATAGCGACGATGACGTTTCTAGACAGCTTGGTTTTGATTGGTTAAGCACTGTTAAAGGGAGCCGGAAGTGGAAGAAATCTGTTTCTTCTTACATTTCACACTTTAGAGTTCATCCAGAATCAGAAGGGTTTTATTGCCATATGTGCGAGGATCACAATGTTAGGAAATCGCTGCGGTACTTGGTGCAAAAAAGGAAGATAAAAATAAGAGATGGGAAGTAAGAATATAATCATGATAAAATAATAATATAAAGTGACAATAATTGGAGAAACTGCTGCTATATGCAAGACAGTGTAGGTACTAATCAGAGCAGATCAGTTCAGGAACACAGGGTCATGTGACTGGAGTGGGCAGCCCTAGGACTGTCATTCATGAGTCAAACAGCAGAGTGGGAGAAATTGTTCTTATGGTGAGAGGTTCTGGACCGAATGGATCTGAGCCTTCTGCCAGATGGGAGCGAGTCAAAAAGGCTGTGTCCAGGGTGACACGGGCCAGCTGTGACCCTACCTGCACGCCTCAATGACCTGGAGGTGTACAGGTCCTGAATAGAGGGCAGTTTGCAGCCAATGACCTTCTCAGCAGAGCGTAAAACACGCTGCAGCCTATTCTTGTCCCTGGTGGTAGCTCCAGCGTACCACACGGTGATAGAAGAGGTGAGGGTGGACTCGATGACTGCGGTGTAGAACTGCCTCATCGACTGTGCTGGCAGCATGATTTTCCACAGGTATTTTTGGATATTGTTGGACTAAACCATGGACATATATACGGGCTAAACCTAATCTGTGGCAGATCTAAAAATAACAAACATTTAGTTTCTAAATATCAATTTTTCATCGTCCATGTTGGATTTGTGTTTGTCCTGCCTTTGAAGGACGGGCAAGATCTCAGTGGGATTACGGTCTGCTGAGTTTACTGGACCTGGACACAACATGTTGATGTTTAGTTCCTGATCCACTTAAATCTGAATTTAGCCTTCATCACGAAAGCAAACCGAGGCAGTAACAATAATACTTAAAATGGGAACACATCACACCTGTCTTAGCCAATCTGCACTGGCGTCCAGTATCTTTCAGGGTTTGGTTCTAGATACTTGTTTTTGTTTTCAAGTCTCTGCAGGGCTGTGCTCCAAGTTATTTGACTGAGTTACTCACCCGATATAAACCATCCTGTGTGGTTCGGTCATCACAGCAAGACCCACAAGAGCAAAATGTTCAACTAGAGGAGGCAGGGCTTTTTCAGTTTTGGCCCCCGAGCTATGGAACGGTCTTCCACTCAAGGTCCAAAGCACCCTCACCCGCCGGTTTTTAAGAGTCGGACGAAGACTCACCTCTATACAGTGGTGTTCCCTCAGCACGTGAGCAGCCATATTTTTAGATAATTTAGCTACTTTTAATCCAGTTTTATTTCACTTACTTTATCTTGTTTTTGATTATCAGTCATTGCTCACATCCCCTGCTTTTATCTGTTCTTAGTTTCAATTCAAGTTTATTTATGTGGAAAGGTGGAGAAACAAAGCCCGGGCGGGATTCGATCCCCAGACTCCCGGGTGAGAGTCATACGCTCTAACCAGTCAGCCAAAGGGACATCCCCTTGGCCAAGTAGCCAGGGCGCATGATCAATCGGGACATTGTGACAGGACGCTCACACTGTCACATTTATATAGCGCCAAATCACAACAAGAGTCGTCTCAAGGCACTTCACATAATAAACATTCCAGTACAGGTCAGTTCATTAAGCCAATCAGAAAAAAAGATTCCTATATAAGGAACCCAGCAGGTTGCATCGAGTCACTGACTAGTGTCAGAGTCTTTACAGCAATCGTCATACTAAGCAAGCATTTGTTTATGTCTATTTTTGTTGACCATTGTATGGGTCTGTGATGTTTTTAACCCTTTGATGCATAACGGTCACTACAGTGGACAGGTACTCAAAATTATTTATTTGTTTTTGCTATTAAGCACAGTTGTTGAAGACTTTATTGCATGTGAGCCCCTCCATTTGGACTTCAGTAAGCCAAGCCAACATATTTCATGTTCAGAATGCACGCTGTCCACTGAGATGGACATGTAATAAATTATTTGTAAATGAACAAAATTTTACAAAAATATTTGTTGAAATTTGTTTCATTCACACCCAAAGACCAATGAAAAAAATTGTTAAAAAAAATCATGGTTGAAGATTTCATAATTCATGCATCAAAGGGTTCATGCGTGTTCAGCACTTTGGTTTGCCTATTGGCAGTTGGAAGGTGCTATATAAATAAAGTTGATGATGATGATGATGATGATGAAAACCTTGGGCCATCTGCTTTTTATTGTGTGAGAACTTAACTCATGATGAACTAAAACATTTACTCATTTTAATGAGAAAATAACTTAAATGCAATGTTTTTTTTATTTTCATGAACGTTTTTAATCTGGCGTCTGTTTGCTATCTTCCCAGACCAGTGAGCTGCTGAAGACCAAACTGGGCCTTGATGAGGACACCATCCTCACCATTTGTGGGAAATTCAAGCAGAAGCTTTTCCACGAGCGATTTGACCCATCGTCAGGCGGATCGATAGACGACCTCCGTGTGCGTCACTGGGAGGAAAGTATTTTAGAGACCCTGGGTAGCTGCTCCTCTCCGTCTCTGGCTGCTCGGTGCTACTATTTGTGGAAAAACAGTCGTTTGGAGGTTCTATGTCTGTCCCCTGAGGTGTCTGGTCTTCTGAAGAGTCTTCGCAGCAGATACAAGCTGCTGCTGCTGACCAACGGAGAGGCTCAAACCCAGAGGGAAAAAGTGGAAGTGGTCAGATGCGAGGAGTTCTTCGATGCCGTGGTGATCGGGGGAGAACATCCCGAGCAGAAACCGTTCTCTTCCATCTTTAGGATGTGTTTCCAGCTGCTGGAGGTGGAGGCGGAGGACTGTGTGATGGTGGGAGACTCTCTGGATACAGACATTCAGGGGGGCTTTAACGCCGGAGTCCGGGCCACGGTGTGGATTAGCAGTGCAGAGCACGTTGTTTCAGACGGTTCAGTGAAACCAGACTTCACTATTCCCACCGTGCTTCAGCTGCCAGCTGTTTTAGCACAGCTGCAAAAGAATAACTCTGAAAGTAAAGGATAATTAACAGCTTTCTTCAGGTTTATTTTCAGTTTTTTATTATTTTAATTTTTACATCAAGGGAAATAAGAAAAAAAAATTCCAGCATCTTAATTCTTTACAATTTTCTGTTTCTGTGCTAAGATTATTAAATTATCAATCCTGTTTATACCCAATCCAGAATAACTCACATTTCTGATTCCTCCTCCTCACTCAGCATGGCTCTATTAAACACCCGCTCTGTTAACAATAAGTCCTTCCTGCTCAATGATTTAATTCTGTCTAGAAACCTGGATTTTCTGTTTCTGACTGAAGTTTGGCAGCAAACATCTGATTATTCTGGTCTGATTGAACTCTGCCCGAGTGGTTATTCTTTTCTTAGCCAGCCCCGGGGTTCTGGTCGTGGTGGAGGCCTAGCTGTTGTTTTCAGAGACCTAAGCCTACTGGTTGTGCAGCACCAGGCTAAAGACCAAAGGTGACAGATCATCTGCTGCTGTGGCCCCCAGACTCTGGACCTCTCTCCCCCTGAGCCTGAGATCAGTGGACTCAGTGGTCTCCTTTAAAAAGCAGCTGAAGACTCACTTGTTCAAGCTGGCTTTTGTATGACCTTCTTCACCTCTCTCTCTTTATTCTGCTCTCCCCACCTATTCCACCTTCCTCAGGATCCACTGATTTCCCTCTTTCCTGTCGCCTAGTGAACTAGACCAAATTCTTGCTTTGCAAAGTTAATAATACATATTTATATACATAAAGTCAAATAATACATTTATTTAGTCTGGCTTGCCAGGCTCTCTTTCCTGTTCACTCGCTCTCTTTCTTTACATTTTTTTTATCACAACTGTCTATTTTTTGCTCATTTTAAATTTATTTTTAACCATTTTCTAAATTCTTTTTTACATTTTTACATGTTTTGTTTTTGTGAAGCGCCTCATGATTTTTATCTTGAGAGGCGCTATAGAAATATTTTCTTCTGTCTTTCTTCTTCTTCCATCTCTCTGATGTAACTGGAGTAGCTTCACCACAGTAAAACGATGTTTTACCACTAGCCTTTAATGTTTGAATAATTCAGATTTTCCTGAAACTTTACTTCAAAGCAGGACATGAAACAGGTCTTACATTATATGAAGGCCCGGTTCACACGGCAGGACAATTACGTCGATTTTTGTATCGATCCTCCCCTTCTGACAGTCATAAGGACGCTCTGATTACCGTAATGACTCTAAAAAAAATCATATCAGATATTTCTGCCGTGTGTGGCGTGCAAAGTGCTCTGGTCTGCTCGGAAGGACATTCTGATCACTCCGATCATAAACCTCTTGAGTGTGACGTGCAGCCAGTCAGAAAGTGAGATGATGGAAGCATGGCGACACACCACGATTGTACGCCAAAGTCTGGTTTGACTCCCTACTTCGTCTGTCATGGACTCTGACATTTTTTGTGCAAATGAATATGCTGTTCCTTCAAAGAACTGTACCGGTACGAGTCCACAGCCACGCATTTGTGTTTACAGAACTTGGTGTCTTCTGGAATTTGAGTGCTTGAAATGCTAGCTACCATTCCCGTCCATTGTTTACGCTAAGCTAAGCTAACAGAATGACTGGGCTTATTGGTTTTCCCCACTCATCAAGCTCTGGGGAATATGGCAACAGACCAAGTTTCACCTAGGGGTGGAATATCTCTCCAAGTGTAAAAAATCAACTTAAGTTTCTGCCGTTTATTTTTTCATCTATTTTTAGGTGTTTCAGTGTAAAGGTTAGATTTTTTTTTTAAGATGGTGGCATCAGTCCTGAAGAACATACAGGTGCTGGCCAGTAAATTAGAATATCATCAAAAGGTTGAAAATATTTCAGTAATTCCATTCAAAACGTGAAACTTGTACATTATATTCATGCAATGCACACAGACCAATGTATTTCCAATGTTCATTACATTTAAATTTGATATTCATAAGTGACAACTAATGAAAACTCCAAATTTGGTATCTCAAAAAATTAGAATATTCTGAAAAGGCTGAATATAGAAGACACCTGCTGCCACTCTAATCAGCTGATTTACTCAAAACACCTGCAAAGGCCTTTAAAAGGTCCCTCAGTCTTGTTTTGAAGGCACCACAATCATGGGGAAGACTTCTGACTTAACAGCTGTCCAAAAGACAATCATTGACACCTTGCACAAGGAGGGCAAGACACAAAAGGTGATTGCTAAAGAAGCTGGCTGTTCGCAGAGCTCTGTGTCCAAGCACATTAACAGACAGGCGAAGGGACGGAAAAAATGTGGTAGAAAAAAGTGTACAAGCTCTAGGGATAACCGCACCCTGCAGAGAATTGTGACGACAAACCCATTCAAAAATGTGGGGGAGATCCACAAAGAGTGGACTGCAGCTGGAGTCAGCGCTTCAAGAACCACCACGAGGAGACTCATGAAAGACATGGGATTCAGGTGTCGCATTCCGTGTGTCAAGCCACTCTTGAACATGAAACAGCGCAAGAAGCGTCTCGCCTGGGCCAAGGACAAAAAGGACTGGACTGATGCTGAGTGGTCCAAAGTTATGTTTTCTGATGAAAGCAAGTTCTGCATTTCCTTTGGAAATCAAGGACCCAGAGTCTGGAGGAAGAGCGGAGAAGCACAGAATCCACGTTGCATGAGGTCCAGTGTAAAGTTTCCACCGTCAGTGATGGTGTGGGGTGCCATGTCATCTGCCGGTGTTGGCCCACTCTGTTTCCTGAGGTCCAGGGTCAATGCAGCCGTCTACCAGGAAGTTTTAGAGCACTTCATGCTTCCTGCTGCTGACCAACTTTATGGGGATGCAGACTTCACCTTTCAACAGGACTTGGCACCTGCACACAGTGCCAAAACCACCAGCACCTGGTTCAAGGACCATGGTATCCCTGTCCTTGATTGGCCAGCAAACTCGCCTGACCTTAACCCCATAGAAAATCTATGGGGTATTGTGAAGCGGAGGATGCAATACGCTAGACCCAACAATGCAGAGGAGCTGAAGACGACTATCAGAGCAACCTGGGCTCTCATAACACCTGAGCAGTGCCACAGACTGATCGAGTCCATGCCACGCCGCATTACTGCAGTTATTGAGGCAAAAGGAGCCCCGACTAAGTATTGAGTGCTATACATGCACATTCTTTTCATGTTCATTCTTTTCAGTTGGCCAACATTAGAGAAACAAACATTTTTTCATTGGCCTTTAGAATATTCTAATTTTCTGAGATACCAGATTTGATGTTTTCATTGGTTGTCACCTATAAATATCAAAATTAAACGTAATAAACATCGGAAATACATTGGTCTGTGTGCATTGCATGAATATAATGTACAAGTTTCACGTTTTGAATGGAATTACTGAAATATTTTCAACCTTTTGATGATATTCTAATTTACTGGCCAGCACCTGTAAATCTATTCCTCCCAACTGAGGCTGTTCAGAGCACCGTCTACAACAGCGGGTAAAATATAGATATCGACCGGTTTTATTCCTTCGAGTCGGGCTCAAAGAGGACAGAGCCATCGCTGTTAGCTAAATACTTTTATTGGGTTTGGAGAACATTTCATCATCATGGCTGATAAACTATCACATTGACACGACATCACGGTTTCACTGATTTCTTGATTCTGATTTCCACTCAAGTCATAATTAAGGCACGAGTCTTTGTTTCTCTTCTGAAAAACTTTATTTAACCTCCAGCTTGACTTTGATGTTCATCGCTGCGAGCTCGGCTACGAAGTATCGGAAGACGTACGGGACCGACACAGAGTCGATGGAGTCACTTTTGCCACACAGGGAGCAGACGGTTTTCCGGTTTCGCATGGCAGACCAGTAGGGCGGAGGTTTCTCCAGCAGTGGTGACAGAAGGCTGCCGCAGTCGATGCACACCTGAGCGACCGAGCGATCTGAGCAGTTAAAAAGACGGTCATGAAGCAGGAACGAGGATCCGTGAGCCAGCAGGGCGTCGCGCTCCATTTCTCCAAAACGAATGCCTCCCTGGATGTTTCTTCCTCCCACAGGCTGGTTGGTCACCTTGTCTCGTGCTCCCGTGGTCCTCACCTGGAATTTGTCGGAAACCATGTGACGTAGCCGCTGGTAGTAGACGACACCGATGAAGATGTCAGCCTCCAGTTCCTGACCGCTCAGCCCACTGTACAGCCGCTCTGTTCCATAATAGTTGTAGCCACCCGCTCGCAGCATTTTACCAAAGTACTCCAGCGCCGCGCTGTCTTCAGAGAAGGTGAACGGCGTGGCATCGTGGCCGAGGCCGTGCAGGGCGGCCGACTTCCCAGCCATGCTCTCAATGAGCATTCCTATGGTCATACGGGAGGGGAACCCGTGGGGGTTGAAGAGAATGTCGGGAGTCATACCGCTCTCGGTGAAAGGCATGTCCTCCGCCGGCCACAGGCGGCTCAGGATCCCCTTCTGACCGTGGCGACTAGCAAACTTGTCACCAATGGTGGGGTTTCGAGGCACTCGGACGGTGATGCAGACTCGTTTAAAACGCCCTGAACCGGAGTCGTTGCTGCAGATCTTTATGTTATCGACAACACAGGCCTCTTGGCTCCTGCAGATGAAAAAAAAAAACGCAAAAAGAGTTTAAAAGTAGTAAACAGTGTTGGGAAAGTTACTTTTAAAAAGTAATTAGTTATAGTTACTAATTACTTTGTCAAAAAAGTAACTCAGTTACTAACTGAGTTACGAGATTATAAAAGTAACTAATTACCAAGAAAAATAACTACTTAGTTACTTTTTTTCATTGAAGAATGCAAGAAAAACGGGTTAATTGAACTTACTTAATTTACTATAAATGACTACAGTGGTGAAATATAAATGACTAATGACTGGAACATAATAAAATGTATGTCCAAATGTTTTTTATAAACCTGCATAATTTAAATAAATAAGCACTTAACAGGAGGAACTACTAACAGGAGCATTACACTTATCTAGACTATTAAAAGGTCACTGTGTGATATTTAACAAGACCCCAGTCAGCTAAAATTTATAATTGCAAATAGAAACACCTGTAAAGGTTCCCGAGCCTTTAAATGGTCTCTCGGTCTAGTTAAATTACAGAAATGAATGTAATTTTGCACAACATTTTAATGTTTCTAGCTTCACATAATTGTCTGTTATTATCAGCATTTCTGTTGCTGCTAATCTAGTAACGGTTAAATAAATAAAATCCTTTAAAATGACACTAGAAGAGGCACAAGCCTGATGGAGGACCTACATTTACTAACTTGGGTCAGACCCAACCACAGAAGAGCTGAAGCTGGGTGGTAAACACACACAGGTAGTTCTAATAACACCTGAGCTCCATGATCAGAAACAGGTTACAGCTGGATGATCTAGGAAGGTAGAAGATCAGGACGTCTGAGCGGTGAACAGGTGAGCGGACCTTCAGGACGCCCCGCTGTCACGCTAAGAAGGGCGTAGACTATTCATCACATCTTCCTCGTTCCTCACGGGCCGTGATGCGCTTGGATGAAAACATCTGCCTCTTTAGCTCCTGATCAGCTGATGACAGCTTCAACACACCGCGCTGCTTAACGCACGCATTTTCTGATCAGTAACAGAAACGACGTTTTGATAAAAGAAGACGGTAATTAATTAGTTTGCTCGTTACTGAAAGAAATCTTTTTTTTGTAACGCAGTCATTTTAAACGGCGTTATTCCCATCACTGCTCTGTTGTGTCTACAGCATGCAGTGACCGAGACCGTGAGGGTCTCCGCCCACCCGGCCAATCACCATCGTGTTTGTTACGACACCTCTCTCTCCCTGGCTGCAGCTGAAGTGTGGCAGTCAGAAAGCCTCACACTGTTGCTCAACGTTCGACCCGCACATAGTAACGCACAACCTTCCGTCCCCGGTAACGGCGCTGCAACAGCGGGAAAAGTAATTAATTAGATTATTCCGTTACCCTAAAAAAGAACGCTGTTGGTAATGCCGTTATTTTAAACGGCGTTACTCCCAACCCCGGTAGTAAAGTAGGACTGGTTTCTGTGTTTGCTAAAGCTGCTGGTCTAACGTTGACAAGCAGAAAGACCAACTCTTACTTGTAGAAGGTGACGAAGCTTTGGCCCGTGTTGAGGTTGATGTAGCTGTAGAAGGGGTCTCCATACTGAAGCACTGATCCGATGTGAGGAAGACCATCCCCATCCAGCCTGTCCTTCACTTTTGGGTCGCCTGCCTTGGTTCCAAACACCACGCTGTCCTCTCCTTTCACCTTCTCTGCCAGGTCCACCAACTCCGTCTTGTAGATGCTCCCATGAGCGAAGCCTCTCTCCCAGGACGACTTGTTTACGATCTGTTAAAACCAACAAGCGTCAGCGACTCGTCCCAAACAGAGGCTTCAAAATAATCACCTCATATTCACCATGGCGTCTTCCATGTCGTAGCCCGAGTACGATATGACGGCCACGATGGCGTTGGTGCCACTAGGGTAGTTGTCCAAGCTGTAATGGTCGTACATGTAGGGCCTGACCAGCGCGCTCTGTGGGGTCTGGAGCCGGTACAGCTTATTATCGGATCGGTCCGTGAACGAGTGTAGAGGAAAACCCATAGTCTGCTTACCTGGTGGGAAAAATAACTCAACAACCACACTGCTTCACAAGTTACGTACCAGAGAGCAGGGAGCCGGGACTCACCCATCTGACACTGGTACATGTTTCTGGGACTCTGGTTGTGGTCAGAGTAGGGGATGAAGTTGGCCACCACACTGAGCATGCTGTGGGGGAACAGCTCCTGGTGTGTGGTGACACCCGCTTCAACCTCGCCCTCCAAAATCCCCACATTGATGTAAAGCTGCAAAAGACCAAACTTTCAGTTTTTCCTGTTTTCATTCTCCCAACGCAGCCAAAAATCTGAAAATCCCACCGCCCATCAAACCTGTTCAAAGGTCCCGATCAGCTCCTGCATGCCGAGAGCTAAATTCTGTACGGGACGCATCATCCGACACGGCGTTGTGAACAGGAACAGGCCAGGATATAAGCTGGCTTTGCCCGTTTTAGGAACAAGGACGATCTCCATCCAGGGAGGAATTTTCTTTTCCCTCAGCACCTAGAAATCAAATTAAGACATCTGATGATTCAGCGTTCAAGTAGCGGGCCAAACACTGGATCCAGCGTTTGTTTGTACCTCCATCCCATCATCAAACTTAACCTTGCATAACATCCGAAAACAGAAAGCTAACGACCGCTGTTACAGCTAACAGGCTAAATGCTGGGTTTCCCCCAGCGCTTTATAAGCATCATGCCCCACCCCCCTCCCCTACCGTGTCTGCGGACACGAACGGCGCAGCGAAACTAGAGCCCTCCATCAGCTGTTACTGGTGAGAAACAGCAGCGGAACGTGTGCAACCCCCCCCCCCCCCCCCCCCCCGAGGAGCGCTGCGATGCGGCACGACCCCCGGCGGCCGAATCCGCCAGGCTTAACCCGTTTTCTGGGGGAAACCCTGCAGGTAGTGGCACGTACCAGACACGTCCCAAAAGCATAACGGCGCTGCGCTCCCAGAGCACTTCAAGCTCAGCCAATCAGAGCGGGCCAGAACAGGAAATAAAAGCATCTGGAAACCATCAAACTATAACGCTCACAGATGTCCACTTTCCTAAGCTTAAATACACACCAGCAATAACATAACCTCCTTGGCGGAGGAGACCTTTTGGATACATGCTGCCATCTTGTCTTGTTACTGTGTGAACAGGTGAAATCACGTGTGATCTTGCTATTTTCATGGGACTTTGTGATGTCGCTGTGTGGAATGCATACGCAGCGCCCCCCGGTAGATAACTCCATGCCACTGAGGTAGAGAAAAGGCACCAGTGACATTACACGCTGCTCACGCAGTGGAAAGCTGTGGTTGAACCTCGTCTGGATGCTTTAAACTCAAATGTCCCGTTTCAGGCCAGAACTTGAGACTATCGTCTACACGAGTCAAAACTGTTTCCTACCTTAAACCTGCGCAGTGACTCGACAACAGCTGGAGCCAAATCGCTCTCCACCCAGCCCACAAGAGCTCCGTCCAGGACCACGGGGTAACAGTCGGAGTAGGCGTGCCCAGGAGTTCCATCCACAGGAGTCACACCTGACAGCAGGAACAGCAGAAACATTTTAACTCCATGGAAGGTCATCGCAGGCCTTCTGTCTGACCCGATGCTCACCGAGGGAACAAAACAGAGCCGGCAGCGACGTGGTGAACATGGAGGGTGCAACTATTTCACAGCTGGCGGTCATGTGGTTCATGAGCCCACACGGCTCTCCATCCGGAGTGTGGACGGGACACAGGAATCCCCAGGACTCTGGGAGCAGCTTCCGAACAGAGGTGGTCCTCATCTTGGCGAACGCCGCTCCTCGGTGCACGCAGCGGAAATGGGACAGGTAACGGATGAAGTTGAGTTTGTCGGCTACAACACAGAGGCCCGTGTTCTGCAGCATTCCAAGACCTATGGAAACACAAGATGTCCTTTATGCAGCTTTACTGTTTGTTTGTTTAACACCACAGCATGAACTCGTACTGAGATCCGGCGTTCCTACCAGTCTTGGAGTGAAGGTTTCCAGTGGCCAGCAAATACTCAAAAGGCTTCGTCAGGTCTGAGCCCATGTTCAACATCTTCATCACAGACTCAGTCGTCCAGGCTCCAGACAGCTTGGATCCTCTTTTGTCGAAGGACAGTTTGACAGAGACCAACCAGGCAGTCAGCCGCTCCTGTTCACACGGTTCAGAGTCCCAACGAAAACGATCAGCGGCGCGTTATCGTTAGGATTCTACAACAGTTCACTGATAATCCTGATTTACTGATGACGTTCGTTTGATAGAGTTCAACAAAACTGTCAGAAATCCTTCTTATGTTCATCTAGAACTGAACAACATCTCAAGTTTTTATAAAATCTGATATAAAAGGACAGGATGGCCCAGTATCGATACACACGTACAAACGTGGACTTTGCTTCCGTCTAAGCGGTCACACATCGTCGTACGTGTGGTGAGATGGGCTGAAACCCCCGTGTAACCAGGCACGGGAGCCTGCGGCGACCAAAATACCTCAGAAGCTCCCATAAATCTTTCCCTACTTGCTGATATGAGTGAATCCTGTGAGACTCCGGCCATGTTTGCCTTCACAGCTGGAACACACCTGTGCTGCATGACCCACGTTAGCGAAATCCGCTGCAAAGATGCTTTCATGTCATGAAAATAACTTCTTATGTTTTGACCCAAACCTAGATCCCACACAAGGAATCCTTCATTACTCGTAGTCCGACTGAATGAAGGGAACCATCACAGCACATCTGACCTCCTAAAACACAAAACTGGCTACAACTCAGTCAATTCTATAGATACTGAGATCAAGTCTTCCTGCCACACGCGCCCCATCATTCCCACGGTGCAAAACCCAAGAAGGCCCCAAAAAAGAGCACCTGCCTTCAGGAACATGAGGTACAGCTGACCAGCCGTGAGCACTTCTTGAGTCACGATGCTGTCGGGGTTTTCTTCCATGCACTCCTGCTTGGCGTACGAGAAAAGCTTCCGGGTCATTAGACAAAGCAGGAAGAACTTCTCTGTGTCCGATTTCAGGTGGATGCAAATGCATTCGCTGCACAAGACGACAAACACACACTGATGTGTCGCTGCAGAAAGCTTCAGTTTAAATCAGTGTAACCGCTAGGGCTTACTTTAGGAGGACGTTGGCACACTGCTCGTTGGTGTACCACTCAGGTAGGTTCAGCTTGACCCTGAAGCGCTCTCCCAGGTAACTGAGCACACTGCTGCGGGTGGTGCAGCCCTCCTCCATCACCATACGCAGCATCTCTGACACGCAGGTCTTGTAGAAAGAATTGTCCTCGCGGCCTTTGATCAGCTCCTGGTGGATCTGGAAGTCTGTGAAGTCCACCAGGGCCTGAAGAGCACCAGAGAAAACACGGTGAACTAACACAGAACGACACCAGGTCACGCTTCAAAGCTCGTAAACTGATACCTTCAGAGCAAAACCTAAAGGGAGGAAGAAGAGCTCCTTCTGGTAGATGAAGTTCAGCATCATTGTCCCATTTTCCAGGTAATGGAGGTTCATGTTGATGGCTGTGTGCTCCTCCTTCACACAACGCATAGAAATACCTTCACGAAAGAAAGGAATCAGCACAGAACAACGAGCTGAAGCTCCTCTCAGTGTCTACTCACCAAACTGGGTGTAGCCCTGACCCCTGCTCTTCCACTTGGGTCTCGACATGGCGATGGGATAGTTCCTCCTCGGCATTATCAGCATCCGGATCACCTTCTCGATTCCGTTCACGATGAAGTAACCTCCCATTTCCTGTTCAATTATCCAGCGTTTAGACGACATCCAATAACAGGAGGAGTCGCGTCAGCTCGGCTCACCTCTGCTTCTTCGTGATGCTTTACGAGCTCCTTGGGGGACATGCCGTAGAGGTTACACAGCTTTGACTTCACCATGATCGGCACCTGGCCCAGGGACTGCTTAATGATGCCTTTGGGAAAGCCGTTGATGGACCAGCTGACGTCTGCCTGAGATGACACATCGTCACACGCCTCACTACAAAACCTGCTACCTCACAGCTGCTCTTGATGAACAGAACATCTATGATAGCTTCCAGTCAGGTTTTCGTAGAGCTCATTCTACTGAAACAGCTCTTCTTAGGGTCTCTAATGACCTTCTGACTCACAGTGATGCAGGGGACGGTTCTGTTCTGGTCCTGCTGGACCTGACTGCAGCCTTTGACACTGTTGACCATCACCTGCTACTGGAGAGGCTGAGAGACTGGGTAGGCCTATCAGGATCTGCTCTGGAGTGGTTCTCCTCTTTTCTTTCTGAGCACTCCTTTTCTGTGGCCGTCTCCAAGTTTAGGTCCTCCACCACCTCTCTTACCCATGGTGTCCCACAAGGTTCTGTGCTGGGGCCTCTGCTCTTCCTCCTCTATCTGATTCCTCTTCAGCACATCCTGAGCTCCTTCAAAGGAATCTCCTACCATCTTTACACAGATGACATCCAACTGTACATCTCCTTTAAGCCCCATGAGATGTCTAAGCTGCAGCTGTTACACACCTGCTTAGACTCTATCAAAACCTGGATGGTGGGAGCTTTCTTCAGCTGAATGAAGATAAGACTGAGATCATCTGTGCCCCAGACAAGCTGGTTCCCAAAGTCAGAGACTCTCTTGGTCAGCTTGCTTCTCACACCAAAACTTCTGTCAGGAATCTTGGCGTGACCTTTGACCCAGCTTTCACCCTGGATTCTCATGTCAGTTCTCTTGTTGGCTCTTCCTTCTTCCATCTCAGGAACATTGCTAAACTGAGTCCCATTCTGTCCCGCTCTGAACTTGAGACAGTTCTCCACACCTTCATCTCCTCACGCTTAGACTACTGTAACTCTCTTTTCACGTGTCTGAGCAGAACCTCCCTGAACCGTCTACAGGTGGTTCAGAGTGCCTGTGCTCGGCTTCTGACCAAGTCCTCCAAACACACCCACATCACCCCCCTTCTCCTCCAGCCACTGATTTCCCTCTTTCCTATTAACTCTCTCTCTTTATTAAATTTTTTTTAATCACAATTGCCTATTTTTGCTCATTTTAAATGTATTTTTAAACATTTTCTAAATGCTTTTTTATATTTTTACATTTTTTGTTTTTGTGAAGCGCCTCGTGATTTTTATCTTGAGAGGCGCTATAGAAATGAAATTTTCTTCTTCATTCCAACAGGGAGGTGAGAGAGTTAGCCTAGCTTACCACCACTTTTCCTCGGTAAGTACTCCTCCTTCCTCTGCATTCTGCTGGAAACACCTTCATCTCTGTGCAGATGCTGCCTTTGGCGACCAGCGGGTTCTGGATGGTTGCATCAACGAACGTGAGGCTCAACTTTTCATTTCTGCACATGAACTCTATCGGAGGAATCGCCTGGAAAACATCAAACAAAAACTGTCCAAAAAGCAACCAGACGATCCCAAAAATCAACATGACCCCAAAGGAAAATAATAACAATAATAATAACCTCATCTACAGCCTTTAATAGTTAGTGAAGCTTCTGCTCTACTGCTGAGTAAAGGTTTGACCCTTTTCTGATATATGAAGTAGAAATGATAAATTTTAAATTTTAAAACATGTTATTGGCCAATTTTGTCATTTTACTTTTCTGTGCAATACGATTTCAGCCTGTAGTCTCGAATTTTATGTTCTAAATTGACTCCGTGTACCCCCCCACCCCCACCACCCACACACACTTCATATCCTTTTGTTTTTTTCTGAACACTCAAGGGGGCTGCATCTAATTTTTTATGTGTTTTCACTGTAATACAGATATTCATTCAGGTGGTCAGAAGTCATGCTTTTAATTTGAAAAGTTTGAAATGAAAACATTTCATTCATAAAAAGTAACTGGTCCAAATTAGTGATTACATTTATTTACTACATTTTATTTCGTAATTAACTGTTCATTGTTTCCGTTTTAAATAAAGCTTTTTTATTGCCGTTAGAGACACATGTATGATATATGTCTACCAGATCTGACACACGTGGATTAAACATGTTAAAGTCAAAGAGGGCAACGAGAGGAGGAAATTAACCAGGAGTAGTATTTAGTCATTTCTCATATCCCTGCTGGAGTATTTATGATGTTTTAGTTTATTAAAGTGAAAAAATAATTGTAAACCTGACTTTCTCACTGACCTGCACAAGGCGGTTGAGTCCATCAGTGACAGCCTGATCAAACGACTCGATGTGGGCTTTAGTCAGGTCCTGAACGGCGGCGTGTTGCGTCTCTTTCAGTTTACCGAATTCTCCATCGGTCAGGTTCTTTAGACTCGGTCCTGTCGGTACATTACTCCACTTAGCTGAAAAGTCCATGTTGGTGTAACCCGGGACGCTTGTTTACCACATGGACATCACGAAACAGGAAGTACATCACTGAAACAGGAAGTAGATCTGTCGTTGCTTTTTTTTTGTTGTTGTTCTCGAGTGATTTGTTAGCGCCCTCTTGTGGAGACAACGATGCGTTACACCAGTTTCCCTTTGCACTTGACGTCACGCTGCTCATGGGACTGTTTTCATTCACTTTTTCTTTGCTCATGTTCATAAAGCACATCAGTTGATCTCATAACAAAGTCTGTTTTTATGTGTAATTGTTGAGAAGCAACGCTCACTTCTACTGTGAGGGTAGCTGATGTGATTGGTGGTCGCGTATTTTCCAGAAGGGGGCGGTGTGTCACAGCCACACAGCTGCAGTTTTCAATAGAGAAGCGGGGGAGAATGAACGCTTAAACTGCAGTAAAATGTGCAAAAGCAGCATCTGGAAAGCGAGTAAAATAACCTATCTAACACAAAAGCTTGTAAAAGACTGAGTCCCGCTGTATTACTCAGGCTGCACTACAGTGTCTATTCACAGGCGCGATCCCACTACTGAGCGGCACGGGGGCTTTGACCTGCTCCGTTTCCGACCTGGGCCGGTGCACCCCTCCTTAGACGACCTGGTGGTCCCGGGCTTCCCCAGAAGCACCATATCGATACCGAACTTAGTGCGGACACCCGATCGGCATAGTCCACTGCAGCTCAGAACTCCTGAGCTCAAACGATCCGCCAGCCTAAGCCTCCCAGTAGCTTGGATTACAGGCACGCGCCACCGCACCCGGCAAGAACTCCCTGTACTTATTGGGCTTTTAGCCTGTTAGCTGTTGACGTCATCCGACAGCGACACCCAGTGGTGTATCTCTGCTGGCTGGTCGTATTATGAACCCCCTGATACTGTGAGTTGTAAAATGTGTGTTCTTTTTGATGTTATTTGTAATTTTTGTAATGTTCTGATTTTAAGTAAAGGTTTGTAAAAAACGAGTTGCTATGTGCCTATGTCGTTTTATATTGTTTTACCTCATTATCAAAACAATTTTGAATATGCCAATTGGCTATATAAGCTATCCCCATAGACTGGCTATCCCAGGTGGATGGTGAGTGAAACGATGTATGTTCTAAAGAAAATGAGGGATATAGGGCCCAACTAAAAGACAAAACTTATCTTCAGGGAGTTCATCTCACAGAGAGCCACTTATATCAGTATTTTTCTCAAAACGTTGCAAAAAAATTTGAATTGGTTTAAAAAAATCATTTAAATTCACTTTGTTTATCCTATATGTGGCTGACAAGATCCTAACCTTTCTCGTTTAGGTAACTGACAACGATGTTCCAGTAAGCTATTACATGGGTACTGAAGCAAATGTTTTTTTAACATGTAAATCCTGCAGCTTGTAGGCTAAACAAAATTAATTTACCTGGAAATGATTATCTCTCAGCATTTAAGAGCATGTCACCCCTATTCCCAAATCAACATTTTTGTTAAGAGTGTCTAGTTGACGTGTGTAGTCATTATTCTTGGCACTTTAGTGCATCTCATTTCAAATATAAATATTCTGCCTAAAACCCGCCTTCTTCAGGTTAAAAATCTGCACTACATTTGAATTTGAATTAGCCATCGCTATTGGCTGAGCAGTACCTTGTAACTTTAGCTGGTAGCACATGACACGCCTGAGTCGTGGCCATGCCGCCGGCTGCCTCGGCCACACACGAGCCGATACACAAGGATACGGCTCAAAGCTGCTCGCCTCCTCCAAGAAACCTTCCTCCTCCTGTTCTCCTTCTTCAGAGCATGTGGTGGGGGCACTTATAATTCAGTTCAGTTTACTTATACAGAGCCATTAATACCGGATTTAGAAGAAAGTATATATCTTAAAGATAATAATTGAATTTATTGCTGTTGTTTTTCTCCCCTGTAAAGCTTGTACAAACATCTGCAACATTTGGAGTCAATCACATTCAAGATGGCCATCACAGATAATCAACCCAGGAAAACATAAAAGTTACAAGTATGAATGTGATTATAGATACGAGTCATCAAGCACCAACAGGTGGTGGGATATGGGATCTTATTGTGTGAGATCAGTGTTTTCAAGGTTTAATCAAAAGTTTTAATTCGGTTTATTTTCCCCATAGAATTTTATGTGTAAGTTTAATACGATGGAATGAAAATATCTGGTGATGTGAATGTCCTCAAGCAATGTTAGACTTTCTGAAGGTATTTATTTTTCACAAAACTTTTTAAACCAAGTAAAAGGCACATTCCACTGGCTAATTTCATGCTATAAACATCGTAACGTCAGATTCCAGCGACAGAACAGCATAAACCACATGTTTAATACAAGGTTTAGCTCATCAGTGACATCACAGACTCAAGGTACAAACCAGGAGGCAAAATACATAAAACCACAGGTTGAGACAAAATCTTCCAACAAACAGAAATTCAATTAACAGAATCAGAACAAAAGCTTTAAACGTGTAATTCATAGAAGGAGGAAACCAGATCCTCTTGTTGAGGCTTGGCGGGCCCAGCGGGTTCACTGACCACTTTGACCTTATTGTAGTCAGGGTTGGATCTCGGCATGGGCATCTTTCTGGTCTAAAAGTAGAAAAACAAAATACATTTTACTCGGATAACAGTCGATGGAATAAAAAACAGTGCTGGAAACTTGTGTTAAAAGCATTTGTCACAGCTGTTGATTTCTGTATTCGGTGTGTGAGAAGTGTGACTGAATCCATATAGTTCACAGCAGAGATGGGAACAAGTCATCTCCATCTGTTTTTGTTCTGCTCGGCATCTGAACCAGGTTCAATGGATTTAAATGACCTGATTTAATTGCTGAGCTGAAGCAAAACACGGCATGGAGGTGACTTGTTGTTGTCACAATTACCCAGCTCTGGTTCACAGCCAAGTGTGACATCGCTGGGATGAAGATCAACATCTCCAACTGGTCTCTTGAGCCCAGAAAGGATAGAATCAGGTCAGAGAGGAGGTTCTGCCTCAAGGAAGAGGAGTTTAAGTATCTCGGGGTCTTGTTCACAAGTGAGGGAAAGATGGAGCGTGAGATCGGCAGGCGGTTTGGTGCTGCGTCTGCAGTGATGCGGGCATTGTACCAATCTGTAGTGGTGAAGAGAGAGCTGAGTCAGAAGGCGAAGCTCTCGATTTACCGGTCGATCTACATTCCTATACCTCACCTATGGTCACAAGCTTTGGGTAGTGACCGAAAGAACAAGATCGCGGATACAAGCGGCCAAAATGAATTTTCTCCGCAGGGTGGCTGGGCTCTTTCTTAGAGATAGGGTGAGAAGCTCAGTCATCCGGGAGGGGCTTGGAGTAGACCCGCTGCTCCTCCACATCGAAAGGAGCCAGCTGAGGTGGCTCAGGCATCTGGTCAAGATGTCTCCTGGACGACTCCCTGGTGAGGTTTACCAGGTACATCCAACCGGGAGGAGACCTAAAGAAGGCCCAGGACAGGAGGGACTGCTTCTTGGCTGACCAGGGAACACCTCAAGATTCCCCTGGAGGAGCTGGCCCAAGTGGCTGGAGAGAGGGAAGTCTGTGCCCCTCTGCTTAGGCTGCTGCCCTTGAGACCCGACCCTGGATAAGATGGGTGGATATTTCTGTAGTTTTTGTGTTTGACCGACTCACAGTTTTAAGTGTCTTCTTTATGGCTTTCTCCTTGTACTTCTCGATCTTTTCTCTGTGGGCTTCCATCTGCAGCCTCAGACGTTCCTCTTGTTCTCTGGAAAAATGAAAAGTCCATTCAGAAAACATGTTTTTAATTTATTTTTTGACATTCAAAAACATTAAACCACACAACTAAACTAGTCAATGACATTAACAAACATGTTCTTTTAAACTTAAAGAGCAAGTCTGATAAACTGTATAAATGTGTGTCTAATCGTGCTGCAGACACGTGTAGTCAATAGTTTTGCACTTTAGTGCATTTTAGTTCAAATTTAAATTTTCTACCTAAAACTGTCAGTGTTGTGCCATTGTCAGGTAAAAACTCTGCACTGCATTTGAATTTAAATCAGCCATCGCTATTGGCTAAGAGGTACCCTAGAACGTTAGCTGGTACCATATGATGTCACAATGTCGTTGTGAGCCTGTGTGTATGTGTATTTGTTAGCGGCTCCACCCTCTCATTCTGCTAGGCAACAGCATTTGTTGCATTTTTCAAACAGGAAGTGGGAGTGGAGTAAGAATCTGGTAGGGGGTGACTTGCTCTGTAAATAATATGAACAAACGCATTTGTTTTAAGACATATTTAGAAAAACACAATTCTCTAAGCAGTGGTCTACTAGCCTGTCCACGACCCGTAGATAGAGCTCAGTCATGCTAGGACCAATCAGAGCAAATACAATGTGACGTATTCATCGTTACAGAAATCAGTCAACGGGAAAATCTTCAACACACCGTACAAGAAGCAAATCACTCTTTTTTGAAAAATAATGACTGTGTTATGCCAATGCCATTTCAAGTGAGCGCCCTTCCTGAGCTGACGCCATCTTTCTTGTTCTTCTCTAGTGCTAAACCCCCCCAGCTAACTTAGAGCTCTGTGATTGGCAGGACATAAAACTGTTTGGGCCAATGATAAACCGGCGATGCTGCTGCATGGAGCGAGCATAGAGCGACCTGCACAGCTAACGTTAGTCCAGTTTTCTAGGCTAGTGTTCTACTGTAAGCGAGACGGACCTTTTCCTCTTCATACGGAGATTTTTCTGCCTCTCTCTCTTTAAATATTCCACTGGGATCTTCTCGGTTTGAGTAATCAACTCGAGTACGTGTTTCTCAATGATCTTCATCTTCTCCACAGTGCTGAAGCTAGTCAACCTTCTCACTCCGCACAGGGAAAGCACGCTCGTCAATTCCTCATCCAGAACTTCCATATGATCCTGTAAGGAGGCAGGTTGGTGGAAGGGAAGGGAGTCAGCCTGCTGTTCCAGACGTCTCAAACCTTTACCTTAAACCAGAGAGGCGCGTTACCTTTTCCTGTTTGTGGGATTCAACTTGTCCTCTGAAGCGTTCAGCCTTCTCCTTTTCTCGCTCTATCTTGGCCTTCATTTCTGTGACTTGCAGCCTCAGCTCCTCGTCTTGATCGTTCCTTCACAGAGAAGTTAGTCAGGTTTATGCATGAGAATATTTTAATCTGCAGTTTTCTGTTCACTGAAGCTTCACGCCTCTTTGTTGTCATTGAACTATTTACCAGATTCTTGTTTGTAATGTTCCCTGACCCTTCTCTTCCCACCAGTCGTAATCAGTTCTACTATTGTTTTGTTTTCTTACCTTTGGGTTACTTTGTTTACCAAGTTTTAGTTGAATGATCTAGATTACTGACTCTTCTGGGTCTATCGGTGTTTACTTTTATGTGTTTTTATTATCTGGGACCTTGAGATGTAGAAGATCCCTGGACCAAGGACTACATAGATTAATAAACATAAAACAGACATTTACATATAATTTCCCATCATGTCACGCACAAATGTGCAGTATATGAAAATAAGAACATTTTGAATCTGAAGCCTTTGAGGCCTAAAATATGAAATATTAGCAGAAATAATAAGATTTAGTTTTTAAAACTGAAATGTTTGTCATCTAATGTTACTATGAAAATGATATGATAACCATTTTCATTTTATTATGTGATTTTAAAACAACATAGCACTAATAAAGAAATAAAACGTTCCTTCGACATGTGCAGGACTGGATAAGGCAGGTTTCTGGTGAAGATACAAATCCTCCACGGCGGGTTAAACGTCCATCTGATTCTCACATTTGACGCTGTTTCGCCTCAACGTCCTTCTGCAGACCGCAATCCTTTGTGTTTTCTCTCAGAAACAGGATGGAACGCACTAAATCTGAGACCGACTCATATGCCTGTGCGGCATCAGAGAAGAAGATCTCCGGCATCTTCGGGATGCTGAAGTGCTCCGTAGAACTCTGCACAGAGAGAAGGAGTAACTGCTGAGAAACACTGGAGAAACAACATCAGCTCGCTTTATAACCTTAAATTCAAATGGCAAAAAAAAATAAACGTAACCTGGTTGTCAGCTAACAAGTTAGAACTCACAGTCCTGAAATACAGAAGAGATTCACATGAGTAGAAGTTTAAGTCTACAGAACATTAAATTCCTTTAGTCTTACAGGACGTCATCTTCTTGGGTTGATGGCATCGTGGATTCTGAAGGTTCTGAATTCAAACCCTTGTGATCTGTGTCAACATTGATATCGTCACTAGCTAACTGTTCCTTTTCTCTCTTATACTTCCACATCGTCACACCCTATTTTTTAAAGGTGGGGCAGGAGGTGTTTGAATCTCGAGTTCTCAGCTTGAAGCGGCTAAACACAACGAGAAACCAGAACCGGCTAGCTAAGTTAGCTAGCATACTAGATTGTTATACGGTGATGTTGCCTCAGTGGAAGAAGAGGAGGGGCAGCTGTAGCTCAGGAGGTACAGCAGGTTGTCCAGTAATCTGAGGGTTGTGGGATCGGTCCCGGCTCCTGCCAGAAATTGCTGCTGTTGTGTCCTTGGGCATGACACTTAACTCCTTGCCTGCTGGTGGTGGTCAGAAGGACCGGTGGAGCCTGTGCCCCGCAGCCCCACCCCCATCAGCGCTCACCAGGGCAGCTGTGGCTATGATGTAGCTCATCACCACTGGGGTGTGAATGTGTGTGTGAATCACTGTTGGTGTTTTAAAGCACCTTGGGGGGGTTCCTAGGATTCTAGAAGGCTCTATACAAATACAGGTAATTTACCACTTCCGATGTGTATTAAGCCCATTCCTCCCTGCTGGACCTCTCATCTAGATCCCAGTGGCTTCTGTCTCTTAAACTATTTGAGGGGACAGATTCTGTCAGGCCTCCAGACCGGCACTGGACCATGAGGAGCGCGTCAGAGGCCTGGAGACTCCGTGACTGATACAAAGGTGCGTTACATTCAGAGTAGAATAGGTGCAAACAATGGGTCAAAAAGATAAGATAGTGTTATGTTTTCATGCTGTTTGACAGTATTCGTTGTGTCCGTCAACCTCTTCTATTCTGGAGGCGTGGCTTTGGCAAAAGCCCAAAGAAAGGAGGTTGTTCTTTTAATTGTAATTTTTCTAACTGTAGCTTATAGCAAGAAAAACATCTCCTACTCCACTTTTAATGGAATCTTTCTGTCATGCAAGAGAAGTTTGAAATGAGTCAGTACATTCAGTTTTAATAAAGTGTTGCTCAGAGCAGATCTGGTAAAAAGACAAGCAACAATTCTCTGGTTCTTAGTCACAATCATCAGCTGGATTTAAACTCCCAGCTCACCTACCTGTGGCCTCCTCAGACCCAGAGTTCTGCTCATTCTGAGGATCTTTAGCTTTCTGATCCTTTAGGTTTTGGGCTTCCTGCCACCATGGAGGTGACATCTGGAATAGAGTGGATTGTGACAGCTTCGCTTTCATCAGGAGGTCCTGACTTTCACACAGCTCCCTATAAAAACAGAGAACAACCAGGTTTGGACACGCCATCATTACTACTGTTCACTGTTGTTTTTGTTTGTTGTCATGGTGCTACCTCTGAAGATTCATGTTCTCTTCTCTTCGGTTGTCATGTTCAGTTGACTTGACTTTGTTGTAGTTACTGAAAACAAAACTTGATTAGTATGGAAGGTTTAGTTGGAAACAGCTGGCGTTTTCTTGTTTTCTTTAAAAACGTTGCACTTCCCATCCAAGTAGCTTCGGTTCTGAAACTTGAGTTGGGAGTAGGTTTAAGGTGTGGCTTAAGGATTTAAAACACTAAGGAAATTGGTTGGAAAAACAAGGATTCGCCACTACAGCCAGTAAGGTCACAAGTCCCCGGCCCCTCCCTTAATTCAGCTCCCCGTTTGGGATCCTAACAGGTTCCCAACAAAGCTCACCAAACATCAGAACTGAAACATTTTCAATTGAAAACAAGAAAAGTCCAGATGTTCCAACTAAACCTTACTATGCACTGAACAACTGAGAATATATATATAGATATATCTGGGATGCTAACACATAGGATGCTAATGAGGATTCCTGATGTTCAATCTTTGTGACTAAAGTGTCTAGATGGAGTTTGTCAGCATCGTAGACGGCCTGCATCCTGCTCAGGTTTTCTCCCTCCTTAGCAATGGCTTTGTCGACCTTCTTGATCGCTAACTTCAGGTCCTTTATACACTTCTGAGGAGATGAAATAAAAGCAGCATCACTGATCAGTTTGACAAGAGAGCAAAGATAGACTTAAGACTATGCAGCTGATTCAACAACACTTCACGAACCTCTTCCTGTTTTGAAAGACTAACACCAACAGCTCATAAAATATACATAAAGCTATTCAGGGATTTCACTTAACCTGCTTTAAACTTCACATATATTAATGAGCTGCAGCTTTTTTCACACAAATTAAAATGTGCAAAAGTAGAGTTAACTGTCAACATAGTTACAGTTACATAAAACATATCAGGTTAAAACACATTTCATTTACATGAATTTACATTCAGACTGTCAACAGGCTTATAAGTAGCTGTGTCATGGAGGATCAGGTTCATCCACGTAAGAATTAAGGCCAGTTTTCAAGAAAGAAGAGTGGAAATAAAGCAAAATGGCCTGTTTTTGTATAGAGCCATCTAGGGTTCAATAACCCCCAAGGGCGTTCACACACCGGTGGCGAGGACCACATCATCTGCAAAAAACAGAGACCTGATCCACAGGCCACCAAAACAGGTCCCCTCCACACCTTGGCTGCGCCTAGAAATCCTGTCCATAAAAGTTATGAACAGAATCGGTGACAAAGGGCAGCCTTGGTGGAGTCCAACTCTCACTGGGAACGAGCCCGACTTACTGCTGGAAATGCGGACCAAGCTCTGAAGCCGGTCATGCAGGGACCTAACAGCCCGTATCAGAGGGCCTGGTACCCCATACTCCTGAAATACCCCCCACATGGCCCCCCAAGGGATGCAGCTGAATGCCTTCTCCTAATCTACAAAACACATGTAGATTGGTTGGGTGAACTCCCTCCAGGACCCCCCCCCCCCCCCCCCCCAAGGGTATAGAGCTGGTCAGGATGAAAACAGCCAGGACGAAGACCACATTGCTCCTCCTGAATCTGAGGTTCGACAATCCGACGGACCCTCCTGTCCAGAACCCCAGAGTCGTACTTTGGATCAACTTAAAAAAGTCCTTCAATTTTTGACACCTAAAATAATCCAGATTTTCTAAACCTTTATTTAAATTTGGGTGAAGAATGTGAGGCTTAAATTATACATCCACATCAAAGCAAAGTAAAAAAAAATACTTCAGATTGTTTAGGTAAACCTGAGCATTTTAGGTGTAAAAAATTGAAGGACTTTTTTAAGTTGATCCACAGTAAGACTTTTTTCATTGCAACTGTAGTTTGAAGGGTTTGAACACACCCTGCGGACCTCCATTTTAAATAGGGGGGCACCACCCCATTCTGCCTGTCCAATGGAACTGCCCCCATACATAATAAAATGAATTAATTACATCAGCCAATAAATACATTGATTTTAAAATATCAGTCAAAAATAATGATCGTGTTATCTAATTATCTAATCTGATTATTATTATTATTTATTTATTTTTAATGCTTTGAGCTATTAAGAGATGCATTTCATTTCATTTACCTCTGGCTCTTTCTCATCCTGGACTTGGTTTTGGTGTTTTTCTTTGGAAGATGCTAAAACCAGGAAACAGATTTTGAGCAAAGGATGAAAACAAAACAAAATAAAACGTTTGTTTTATACTGACCTGGTTTGGTCGAAGACATCTTTGCCTTAGGACTGGCTCCTGTGTACTCTAAAATATCCTCTCTTATGTCACTTTCATAAATTTCTGTGCGGTACTCAAAAAAGATGCAAGAAACAAAGAAGCACTTTTCAGCACTTTGTTCAGCTGTCGTGCTGTTTTTAAATGTGACATAGAAATAAAGTTGGTGTGGTTAAAAGAAAACATATGGATAGGTTTTGAGGCTTCTGTAAATCTGAAACGCAGCTAAAGGCAAACCTTACTTTTATATCAAATCAGAAAATGAATCTGGCATAAATAATAAAGGACCGACTAAATCATCTCACTAATTCAATGTTAAAATATTAAAACATTTATAAATATAATAAAATAAAGTTGACATGATTCAGAATCACCATGATCATTTCTGCTAGCTTCTACATGTTAGCTAACCAATTAGCAGCTAGCATAAACATGTCAGTTCATCTTGGGGGTTCAGATGGCGCCGGTGTTGTGCCATAAATCGACTTGCTGCCAAAAAATGATTAGCCACCGCGGGATCACGCACGGTTAGGGTAATTGCATTTCTAGACGAAATTCCCCAGGATTTCGCCTTAAAACTCAGCATATCTAGCAATTTGGACATTCAGAAAGCAGAGATAACCTCTTCCGGTACTTAAAAAGATGTTTATAGCGGATATTAGTTTTTCCAGTTCAGAAGTTGTTTTAAGTGTTGCTATTTGTCTTAAACGTTCACAAGGAGGATATGTTAATCCTTTTTACAATATTTGCGATTGAAAGATGGTTTGTGGTAAGAACTGGCTTTCTTTATGTTACAGCCTTGATACTAAAAAATAAATAATGTAAAATGGCACCCTGCATTGAATGTAAACGCTGTATACCGTAAATCCTCTAATACATTTGACCACCCCCAGTGAGAGTTGGACTCCACCAAGGCTGCCCTTTGTCACCGATTCTGTTCATAACTTTTATGGACAGGATTTCTAGGTGCAGCCAAGGTGTGGAGGGGACCTGTTTTGTTAATGTATTTGACTCAAGCTCATCAAGCTCCAGGCCTTTATTGGAAGGAGGGCCAGTATTAGAGGCAGGCCTCTATTTCTATTTGAGCAAAATGAACTAATGGTTCGCTGGAGTTTTTGACAATTAAAATTGCGCCCACATTTTCAAAGTTAACACATTTCTTTTAACAACGGTAGTTTCTGCTTCAGCCCTCTCCCCCCTCCCCCTGCGCAGCAGCCGCAAACTCACTGATGCGCCTGCAGCCTCTCGGAGTTCCTGCTGCTCTAAACATTAAAATAATTATTTCATTTTCTGTTCCTCACTTCTGATTACCTTCAATGGTGTCTGTTTGTTGCAACCACCAGGTACAAAAACTAACTTGTTTTTATTTGACTATTTTTCTGTCCTGTCTGTTTATTATCTTCCTGCATCTCCTCTCAATCCTAAAGAAAAACTGCTACCTGGATTCATATATATTCACTCACCTGTAAAGAGTTAAATTTATCTAATATTACTTTATTTATTATCTCTTGATGTTATTAGTCACATCACAGTATGCTGGGTCTCTTCCACAATCATAAACACCCCAAAAATGGCAACAAATGATCTTTTCCCTTGCCAAAAATTGTTTATGAATGTGGAAGAGACCCAGCATCCTGTGATGAGACCAATAACATCAAGAGATAATGAATAAAGTCATTTTAGGTTAATTTAACCCTTTACACATGACCAGGACACTGTGATCAATTTTTGGCAAGGAAAATGATCATTTGTTGCCATTTTTGGGGTGTTTATGAATGTGGAAGAGACCCAGCATCCTGTGATGGGACTAATAACATCAAGAGATAATAAAGTAATATTAGGTAAATTTAACTCTTTACAGGTGACCAGGACACTGTAATCAATTTTTGGCAAAGGAAATGATCATTTGTTGCAATTTTTGGGGTGTTTATGATGAAACAGTAGACAGTATGAATACAATAACATCAACAGATAATACATAAAACCCTTATTTGGTCAACTTTAGCCTCCTTGAAAAACTGAGTGATTCAATCATTTTTTGGCAAGTAAAATACCATTTTAGTTGTCTACAATTAAATCATCAATAAAGAATTTAAAGATATTTTGAGGCGTTTCTTATAGGTAAACAGGAGGGTGTAGTCTCTATTTGGCAAGTGACAATCTTAATTTTATGTGCTGAAGTGGTTTTATCTTGTTACTTTTAAATAGAGCAAAGTAATGTATAGATAGAACCTACACAGTGTCATTGTAAAGCCAAAGCTTGATCAGTTTAAATACTATTTTCAAGTAAAAATGTGCCCCAAACTAGTTAACCGTGGCTCCATGTCAAGTGGACTAAAGAAAGGAAGGGGGGAAAAATCAAATCGCTGGAGAATTGTTTATTTCCATTTATACAACGTTTGAACTTTCATTCAATACAGGGTGCCATTTTACATTGTTTATTTATTTTTTAGTATCAAGGCTGTAACATAAAGAAAGCCAGTTCTTACCACAAACCATCTTTCAATCGCAAATATTGCAAAAAGGATTAATATATCCTCATTGTGAACGTTTAAGACAAATAGCAACAACTTCCGAACTGGAAAAACTAATATCCGCGATAAACATCTGTTTAAGTGCCGGACGAGGTTATCTCTGCTTTCTGAATGTCCAAATTGCTAGATATGCTGAGTTTTAAGGCGAACCCCTGGGGAATTTTGTCTAGAAATGCAATTACCCTAACCGTGCGCGATCCTGTGGTGGCTAATCATTTTTTGGCAGCCAGTCGATTTATGGCACATCTGTTTGCCTAGCAACTTTAGCAACTTAACAGTTCTTAAACCTTCACAGAAACAAATACAGATAGTGGAAAAAATAAAGAGACATATTTTAAGCATTCTGCGGCTCCTTATAAACAAAGTCCAAACAGAAAACCCAGGACTTTTGTCTCTGCCTCTGTTCAGATTTTAACTGTTGCCTACAGTTTTCCTGTAGGCCATTTAAAATGAGGAAGCTAATTTTAAGTTAGGAATTTTTATAAACGGCGTGATCAACTAATACCTAATGTAGTTACCTTTTTCTAAATTGAAGATTCTCGCTCCTTATGTAATTTCCTTCTGACTTGAAAAATATTTTTGAATCAGAATTTGAACATGTTTGATTCCAAAGAAACAAATATTAGTTTCTGAGGTGCAACAAAAAACAGGAATATACTAACCACCCCTTCCTCAAATCACCACAAAGTGGTGCATCTTCCACAAATGGGAAATAAAACTCTTTAGAAAAATGAAAAAGTTGTTGTTGCCTTTTTGAATGGGCTCAGTTTAGGGAAACCATTAGTTCTGACTGGTCAGGGACAATTAAACAATTACTTTCAAAATTATAAAAACAGCTAAAGGTGCAGTGAGTATGAATCAAGTAAGAATTTTACAGTGAAATAATCCCTAAACAGTCTTTTATCTGTCATGTGAGAAGGAAGTTTATAATAAAACATACCGGTATTGCATTCTCTGTCGACCAGGGGGTTGTCAGTTTTTCTCCTTTCAAAATAAAAGGAGGGTGGTAGCTACTGTTGAACATCAGTTGATGTGAGGTTGCTGTGTATGCTGCGAGCTAGCGCTGCAGCGCTGGCATTTGTAACTATGCCTGGCAAAAAGCTCCAGAGTTGTTTAAAGAATCAAAGCCAGTAACACAAGCAAAGGTTACTTCCTGTACCCCTGAGAAGCCACGGCATCTTTTTGTGTTACTCTAACATCAAGTAAAGAAGGCTAGAGGCTAACATTGAGTTACAGTTGAGCTAACAATGCTAACAGTGATTTAGAAGCAAACAGTCAGCTCAAATATTATCTCAAGCTACTTTTTAAATTACCAAGAACTTAATATATAGTAAAATGTATTTGTGAAGTGATTAATGAGTCAATAGTGACATTTTACTTCATTAAATGAGTCGTTCTGAGCTATAACAGCAAGTTTACAGCAAAACAACCACACTTCTTCTATGCCTTACGCATATTACCATAGTAAGTGTAGTGAGTGCTTCCTACCGTGATCACCCAAGAGTGCTAGCACCAGATGGCAATGTAAATATCTTCTTATCTACTTACAGTATGACTCGTCTTTGCTGGTTATCTGGAATCTTATGGTGCAGATCCGTAACTGACAGCAAACACAAAACGCACACAGGAGTGATAAAGTGATTGCAGTAACAAAATTAAACCACAGGATGTCACTATTACTCCATTCTTACACACTGCACCTTTAACTTTACATTCCCATAAATTAATTTTTAAAATAACAATCACGTGAAACTATATTAAGAATGATCCAGAACACAAAACCACCCATTGTAACGGCTGTTAGCACATATCTCTGCTAATGTCTGTATCTCCAAAACATGAGCTATCTACAACAGCTAAGATGTTAATCGTTCACAATCAATCCGCAAAAACTCACATTAGAAATCTGAACAGTATAAGTTCCAGAGGCCAGGAGTAGTTTGTGTGTGTCCTTGTGTCGGTGGTCTGATCAGACATCACCTCATCCTCATATCTTTTCTCTGCTGATTAAAAACAATAAAGCGCCTATTTCAGGTCAAAATAGTAGACCAATCAGTTTATTACCTGCCTTGAGTAAAATCATGGAGAAGGTAGTTTATGAACAAATACAGAATTATTTCTTGGTGAATGGGTTAAATACAAAATATCAACATGCAAATAAAAGGAAGCACTCTACCACCCCAGAATTAACTCAGATCACAGATGATTGGTTGCAAGAAATTGACAATAAAAACCTAGTTGGTAATGTGCTGCTTGATTTAAGTGCAGCTTTTGATATTTTAAACCATAACATGCTTCTTAAAAAATTAAGGTGTTATGGATTGGAATCTTCTTCTGTAAAATTGATTGACAGTTATCTCTGTGATCGAGAGTATACCGTTTATTTTAATGGCAGCTACTCTGAGGCTGAAAGGATGTGTTGTGGAGTGCCCCAAGGTAGTTGTTTAGGACCTTTGTTGTTTTCCATTTGTATGAATGACTTTCCTATGGTGTTAGACCATGCCACCATGGCAATTTATGTAGATGATATTACATTATACGCACCAGCGAAAACAGCATTACAACTTAATATTGTTCTAAATAAGGAACTAGAATCTGTTGGTAGATGGATCACAGCAAACAACTTGAAAATAAACACAAATAAGACTAAATGTATAGTCATAGGATTTAGACATTTTTTAAAATGAATCCAATTTTAAGTTTGACCTTAGATGGTACTATTATTGAACAGGTTGATGAGTTTCAGTTATTGAGTGTTATTGTTGATAATAAGCTATCTTCTGTTAATCATATTAACTATATTTTGAAAAAAATGGGGGAAAAGTACAGCTATTAGTAGACATTGTAGGAAATTAATTCAATTTCAATTAATAAAGCTATTAGTTCAGTCATTGGTGCTTTCACACTTAGATTATGCCTCTGTGGTTTGGTCCAACACCAATGAAAATAATCTAGATAAGTTACAAATTACCCAAAACAAGGCTGCGCGCATGGTATTGGGGAGTCCGTACAGACCCAGTGTAAATCTGTTGCACAATAAGTTGACCTGGCTAAGAGTAAGAGAGATTGGAGTTTTCATTAACAATGTTTATTAGAAATATCATTACGACAAAAACTCCAGACGTAATTTTTTGCACCTTGTCTTTTTTTGCGGATAAACACGATTATTCCACAAGACAAAGAATGCACGGACGATGTGTGTTACCTGCGTGCAGAACAAATCAAATGCAGAAAACTGTGGTTTATCGTGCAATGTGCTATGGAATGCACTACCAGGATTTCTGTTGAGGAAAAGTGATAAAAAAAATGTTTTCAGAAAAAACTCCTAATATTTTTATTTTCCCAAAGATAATGTCAAGCTAAACATCTTTCGAAGTGAGCTGTATTTCAAGGTATGTTTGGGCTTTTGAGAATTCATTTGTGATTTTTCTATACTGCAATTTTATGTTGAAATTAGTTGGGTGTGTGTGTGTGGGGGGGTGTGTGTATGGACATGTATGAACGATGTGCACAATACGTGTATGTATATAAAATGTAATGATTGTATGAGATGAGACCCCAGGAAGAATAGCGGCTGTATGTCAGCAGCTAATGGGGATCTAAATAAACAAACAAACAAACCTATGGTCGCGAGCGTTGGGTGGTGACCAAAAAACGAGATCGCAGATACAGACGGCCAAAATGAGTTTACTCCACAGGGTGTCTGGGCTCTCCCTTAGAGATAGGGAGAGAAGATCGGTCACCTGGGAGGGGCTCAGAGTAGACCTGCTGCTCGGGCACCTAGTTGGGATGCCTACCTTGCGAGGTTTTCCGGGCCTGTCCAACCGAGAGAAGACCTAAAGGAAGACCAAGGACATGCTGGAGAGACTATGTCTCTTGGCAGGGAACACCCCAGGATTCAAACCCCCCCCCCCCCCCCCCCCCCCCCGGAAAATAAAACAGAGGGATGGATGAGAACCACCAAAGGTCCTGGCAGGTTCAAGCACCAGCAGTGTGTGTGGACTGTCCTGCTGGTGTTCTGTCTTTCTACAGCGTCTCCTCCGACACACTGATTCCCTCCACACCATCAACACCAAATTCACAGAACCTCTTTACCCTGGATTGGGGATTGGGTCTCGGTTCATGGTTGGGTATGTTGGTTCCTCTTTGTTTCTGTGTTGCGTTTCATCATGTATATGTTGATGGTTTCATCCGAGTCCCATTTCAGAGACTAAAAGTGGAATTCTTGCAGAGCCATTAAGTGATCTTTCATAAACTATTTTGATTTAAATTGAAGATTTCTTTGTGTTCAAATAAAACTCAGTTTATACATTTATTTGGCTCGCTTTGTTGTTTCGGGACTTTTGTAGAACACACTGGTAAATGGTCAGCATACGAAGCTGAAGCAAGATAGAAACGACTTTCTAACTTGGAGCTGGTACCACCTTCTGGCCGCCTGACCCTTTTGACTTTCGTCACAGATTCCCCTCAAATCACGTCTGCTCCTAAAGGACCAGATGGAGCATCAGGATTAGCCCTTCATCAGAATCCTCACATTTCCAGTCATGTCCGCTGCCCCCTGGTGGAGGATCTACAGGTGATGCTTTCTCCATATTATTGTTAGAATTGCAGAAAAACCTTATATTATTTTAATAAGTAGTTCAGATTTAAACACTGTATTGTTTCATTTTCAGACATTAAAATTTGAAACAAGTTTTGATTTTCTCCAGCGTTCTCCTTTCAGGAGCGAGGCTGAGCTCCATCCAATTGTAGCCACAAATGGCCGTGACAGCTATCCCGTAGCTATGACAACAGCCAATGGCTATAGCTATAAATTGCATGGACGAACTCCTTTACAATAAATGTTTTTTTTATTATATATAAACTGCCAAAACAGTGCTTAAGTACATCAACTGAAAAATGAGTTCATATTTGATGCTTAACCCTCCCACTGTCTTTATGGGTGACCCCGCAAGGAAAGGTGACCATTGAGCAGGATTGGTGGTTTATCCCTTGAGGGCCATGTGACAGGGGTGAGGAGTGAGCACCACCTCACCCCTGCCACATGGACCTCAAGGAATAAACCACCAATCCTGCTCAATGGTCAACTTTCCTCACGGGGTCAGCCCTAAAGACAGTGGGAGGGTGTCTTTGGTGTACTTTGAACTCGTGCTCCACCATTACGCCAACATGGCTGTGCAGTGCTCTGCCCGTAGCACAATGGCTGTACCGGTAGCCACTGTGGCTAGTTATAGCCACTGTGGCTACCGGCGCGCCCTCGTGGCTGTGGCTACATTTGGAGCTCGACCCTACTGCCTTTCAGTTTCATTCAACCCCAAAAACAAAATGAAGACATTTGAAAACATTTCAGTTTCAGTGACAACACATTTTTTTTGTTTTATTTTCAAACAACATTAGTTACAATAGAAATCTAAGTACTAAGTGTTTAATTTTCAGTAATAAACCCTTTGGTAATGGTAGCCCTTTAAATCACAGCTTTATTAAATCACAAAAAAAGAGACGGGTCTACAAAAGATCAGAGGCCGTTTGTGTTGCTTTAAGAGGCTTAAAAAGCTCCAGAAATATAACAGTTCAGCCCGGTTTTAGCTACAGCAGCCCTTACATCCTGTAAACGCTAAACGTATCAGTTAATGACACCCGTGACCTGCACGCTAACAGTAAACACACTTCTGCATTTGTAGCAACCCACCAACATGCCTACATTCGCTTCAACATCTAATCAAATGCTTCCTTGGAAGTTCCAGCATTACATCCAGGTATGTAATTAGATGATTACTGAGGTATTCACTAACTTCTCATTGAGAAAAGAAAAAAAAAAAACCCAAAGGCCATTCAGTCAGTTCAGACGTAGAACTGTGTGTTCAAGGCTAAGACGGCAGAACCAAGCCAAAGTGAAGCACCAACAGACCATCCTGGAACACAAACACCAGAAAGAATCATTTCAAATAAATCCACAATGAGGTTCAACTCTGAATTAAGCTGTTCCAACTAGGGTTGTCACGGTAACCGGTGTAGCGGTAAACCCCGGTAAAAAAGTTGACAACAATAATAACCGTCTTGTTTTTTAAAACATATATTATCTCGGTGGAATACCGTGGCTGCGGTGTAGGCGCGGTGACCCTTACCAGCCACCGTATCATCTGCTGAAGTTGCCGGCGGCACATGCGCACTTTGTTGTTTACAACCAAAACTTTCTTGAAGCTAAAGCTGAAATAATAGCCAAAGGAGGAGACAGCAGCGCTCTGGACATTTATTATCCCTCAAAGAAGACAAAGTGGGAAGTACGGGCATTTTTTGGATATTTGAAGAATGCAGAGGGACAGCTGATAGAAGGCGGCTATCCTGTTTGCAGCACGTGCAGAAAAAGTGTCTGTGAAAGGCAGCAATGCTTCAAATCTCATGACACATCTGCGTGACCATCACCCACAACTCTACAGTCAACGCAAGGCAAGCTAACGTTAGCGTTTTAGCTAAAATGCGTGATCCGAGGATTTGGGTTGAGGGAGAATGCAACGAGTCGCTATATAAAGCAGCCGCAGCACCGCTACCTGCATATAAACCGTGTCGCGGACACCCCCATGTTGAAATGAAGCTATGCATTACGGGGCTCCCAGGGGCAGATAAGAGTTGGTCTCTCTCGGAGAATAATTATGAATTTAACAATGATTACTGCCTGATGATATTTTTCCCACATCTGTAAAGCTCACTGGAAGAACACAAACCGAGGACAATATTTTCCTGATATAGGGTTTATTACTCAAGTAAGGGTAAAAAAGTATCTGATTAGAAGGCTACGTGAGTACTGAGTATCATCTGATCTAACATTTTTAAAATGATGACATCAAACAGACAAAAAATAAGAAGTTATGGGCAAATATTGGTATTTTAAAGAATAAAGGGGAAATATGTAAACAAATAAACAACATAATTACAAAATAACACATTTTAGGCAAAATTTAGACACAAACTGAGGACAATATTTTCCTGATATACAGGGTTTATTTAGTTGTCTGAAAATGTAACACGTTTAAAAAAAATACCGGATAATACCGAAAACCATGATATTTTGGTCACAATAACCGTGAGGTTACATTTTCACACCGTGACAACCCTAGTTCCAACACGGTTTACTGTACCTGAAGAGCATCCTGACCCAGAGAGTTCTGGATGTCTTTCAGTGACTGATAGTGATCTAGGAGGTGATCTCCACAAACCACGTCCACCTGCGGGACAAACAACTAAAGTTAATAAATGTTTAAGAGTAAAGAGACATTTAGAGAAGTACAAATAAAGCTGCTTTATACATTTATTTACCGCTTTACGGTCTATTTAAAGCACATGCCAGGATGAACATATTAGCCGCAGGCTAACCTGACACAGAGGACTCAGCTCCATCTTCCTACGAATGAACAGCTCCACGTGGCGAACGGTGGCTTCTCCAGACACACGAACATACCGCCGCTCTAGTGGCTGAACACAAACAGTCAAAATTACACTGGAGATTTTTCATTGGCCATTAAATATATCTACAATCATGGACGTAATTTTGGGGGGGGACAGGGGGGACATGTCCCCCCCACTTTTTCCAAATTCAGGTTTTGACCCCTGCACTTTTTACCATCCAAAAATAATATTACGCTATATTAAATTGACACTGGTTGAGCTCTAGGACCAAACAGAAAACAACCGTTTGTGTTGAAGCTGGTTTCCCATTAGAACATACTGTAAAGATACCCCCCCCCCATGTCCCCCCCACTTCTAAAGTGAAAATTACGTCCATGTCTACAATAAACCACATTTAGCAGTAGTAGCTCTCAAATCCTCAGTAAGTCGTGACAGACGGATGCTCATACTGATCTAGGTTCTGTTGGGAGTTGTTTTACTCTCCACTGTCGCTACATGCTTGTTATGGGGATTGCTGTAAAGTCTCCGACACAACAAGTCAGTGACTCGATGCAATCTGCTGGGTTTACAGCGCTTTTCCACACCTGCCTAAAACTTTTGCACAGCACTGTAACGTGGTGCAGCCTAGCCGGACTTTGGTCACCATCTTCTACGTGAGCTCATGAATCCATCAAGAGAAGCTCAGACGAAACATTATGTCTCAAAGTGTTCGGAGCTCAACGAGCAAAAAGAAAAAGGTTTGTGTATTAAAATAAAACCACATAGAAAATAATAGAATAATATAAAAACAAGACATTTTTACCTTAAAGTCGTGTATTCCCTTTTCAGCTCTGAAAACAAAGAAAACATTCAAGCAGCTGTTTAGTCTGATTAGGAGAGAATTCACATAACATCAATTTTTATTTAATTTATAAGAAGCACCTGTTCGCTGCTAACCACTCAGCAGTAATTCTACAAGCCATCATTTTCTTTTGTGTAACACCATTCTCATTTATAAGCTGCTTTAAATAAAAGTCCCGACAGTTAATGTGGGACGTTCAGCTTAAAAAAAAAGACAAAAGATTTTCAGATAATTTTGTATGTTTTCTCCAAATCATCCATTTACTTTAGTAATCGTCTCATCTGATGAACGCGTGCCCAGAGAGCTTTCTGGTGCAAACCCTTACCCGACAAACTCCAGGAGCAGAGATACGTTGAGCTCCGGAGGCATGGTAAATGCTTTCGGCGATAACAGCTCTCGCTTTTGCCTTTTCATCAAAACAGGAACTTGAGGCGAAACAGTCGCTGCAAACAAGACATGAAACAACAAAGAATTGTTATGATTTAGCTTAGAAAATCACACATAGGTTTACCCCGTCTGTTTACTGGAAGTTGTAAGGCTGGACCGTTTCACCTGGTTTTGGCACCGGCAGTCCTCTTTCTTTGTAAAAGTTACACCGCTGATCTCTTTCTACTGATGGAAAAATAAAACAAGTTTCCACGGTTAATTTTCCATTAAACCAACTGAACAAACGAGACTGCATGTTAAAACACAACAACGTGTCAGAGAGAGAGAGAGGTGTATAACAGATCTGGTTGTTCTGTTGCTACACATGATTTTACATTTGCATGTTTCTGCCTCCTGCGTCTGTCAGACTTATCAGACGTCATTTAAATGAATAAGATCCACCACAGTTAAGGGCTACTGGAACAAAGACATTCAGGTAATGAAGCAGGCCGTAGGAGAAGTAAAGACCCCAGGAAGGAGCAGCCCCATCGCCAGCCTCAACAGTCAGGCATCACAGCTGCAAAACTAAATCTGCACTAAAGTTGAGTGGTATAGACACGTTTTCCAAGCAATACTCATCATTCCAAAAAGTGACGATGGGCAATATATTTGCACAGGAGACATCTACATGTTCTGTGGGCCTGACACACTCTATGAGGCACTCCATTATTCACAATTGTTCTTAGTTTGCAGAAGCAGCCGACGACGATTCCACGTGAGAATTTGTCAGTTTACAAATTTCATGCATCAATCAACCATAAACTGCGTCGCCGTACACATCATAAGAGGGCAGTACTTCTTACCGGTCAGCCTATTGCTGATGATTTTGCCCAACGGGGGGGGGGGGGGGGGGGGGGGTTAAGCCAACATTTGGATGCTAACAGGGATTATGAGAGATGCTTGGAGGGAAATTTTGACTGTTTTCCACGGTCTATTATGTTGGATTGTGAACACAAGACTTGTTGTTGACCAGCTATTTTTGTTAATGTCAACTGATCATTGCTGTTGGGGATGGCTCCATTCTGTCAACGATGAGGCTCTGATTGGTCAGTTGGACATTATTTTGAATTTCCGAGTGGTTTGACCAAAGCCTCTACTGGGTCTACAGTTATAGTCGAGTCCTCGACTGCGATATATCACTGGAGTCATAAGAATTCTAGCTTTGAAATGGTACATACAAGTGTCGCAAAAAAGATACTGATTCGACGTGGAATTTGGACTCATTTATAGGCATAAAAATATTGCTCGTTATCGCCGAATGCAGTTGCCCAACCGTAATCAGCTCAGACCAATACGTGAGCAGGGGGCAGAGGGGGGAGGCAGAGACATCAGAAGAGCAGAGCACTAGTTGCTACTGAGCAGCTGCCTGACAGCATTTGACCAACACACCGTGCACTGACTTAATTGACTACAGATCTTATTTAGACAGGACACATTTGATACAAAAATAAAAGTCTCTTTTTCAAAAATACACAGACTGCAATAAAAAAGTATCATTATGAAGATATCAATGCACGTAATATCGGTATTGCAACTAGCAGCAGGAATACAAACAGCATGCCTAAAAAAGATCTGAGCATCTGATATGTCCACAACTGACTCAGATTATATTTAGAGGAATTTGTAACGTGTATTTCAACTTTCAACAACGTCACAACGACACAGTCTTAATATCCACTATTGTGCACCAGTATTTAAAACATGCACAAAAACAGACTTACACTTTTCCAGGAAGGGAACCATTTTGTAAACAATATCCTGCAGCTGCCTGTCTGGTCTGCAGAGGAAAAAATAATAAACATTTACACAGAAAAACATGGTGCTAATGTAACAGTATAAAGCCCTTATTTGTTTGTGAACAAAATGGATGTGCATGCAGCCAGCGAGACAAGATCTGGCTTCTTCTGTCAGGGCCGGTACTAGCCAGTTGGGTGCCCTAACCATAAACGCTCTCCAGAACCTCTTCGCTGTATCCATCTAACCACCCATCCAGCAGCAGTTAGGAGTTACAGCTGCATGTCACAAATGTCACACAAGAACTTTCATTTATATTTCAGGTCAAATAATTAAAACTCCATCCAGGTGTAGGTAATTTCATGTCATTTTGGCCTCTCCAGCCTTTCGTACCAGTAACCTGTGGGGGGTTGGCTCGCCTCAGCAGATAAACAGGAAAAACACCGGTGAAGCGGTGAATTTAAACATTAGGAATTTAAATTCACCACCTAACCAACTAATTTAGGAGAGGGGACATGCGAGTGTGTCACCACGGAGGAAAGCCCAGCTTGCTAATACTACAATTAATATAATCTCCATCCATCCATCCATCCATTCTCATCCACTTATCCGGAGTCGGGTCGCGGGGGCAGTAGCCTAAGTCGAGAGGCCCAGACTACCCTCTCCCCAGCCACTTGGGCCAGCTCTTCCGGGGGAATCCCAAAGCGTTCCCTGGCCAGGTGAGAGACATAGTCCCTCCAACATGTCCTGGGTCTACCTTTAGGTCTCCTCCTGGTTGGACGTGCCCAGAAAACCTCACCAGGGAGGCGTCCAGGAGGCATCCTGACCAGAAGCCAGAGCCACCTCAACTGGCTCCTCTCGATGTGTATGATGTGTGTGATATGTAATAATCTGTTTTGTTTTATTAGAAGCCTGACTGCTTGGTGCCCTCCTGGCCACTCGGTGCCCTACAGACTGTGTGCGATGCGCTTGTATGGAGCGCCGGTACTGTCCTCTGGTTTCCGTTGTTTTTTGCAGTTATCTTGTGATTGCGTTGTTGGCTGGTGATGTTGTCGGTGTATTATAACAGTTTATCCCCTTATGAAAAAACTAGTTACGCTGCAAATTAACATCAGTCAACGGGACACGTCTTAACGGTGAGTAGATCAATGATGAGAAGAAATGGCCCAAGCCCAGCCTCTATTCCCCAGGGAGCCTGAAATCCTACATAACCCTGGATGCCTACAGCTATGTAACAGACAACCATGTTCAGGACACACTATTGCACAATTAAAATATTGAAAACTTTGTGGTTATGAAGACTGAGGTGCTGCTGAGTCAAATACAAGGGAAGAAGACCGAGATGTACAAAGTCTGGGTAAACAAGAAAAACAACAGCATTCTGACCGTGAACAGCACCTGCATGGCTGAGTTTGTTATTTCTAATAATACAATGTTACAAATTAACATCAGCATGATTTCCATAGCTACAGTTGTGGTCAGAAGTTTACATACACTTGTAAAAAATATAATATAATGGCTCTACTGAGTGTCCCGTTATTTCTAAAACTCTGATTTTTCTCTGATAGAGTGATTGGAACAGATACTTCTTTGTCACAAAAAACATTCATGAAGTTTGGTTCATTAATGTCTTTATTATGGGTTAACAGAGAAAAGTTATCACATTTGCTGGGTCACAAATATACATACAGCAGTGCTAATATTTGGTTACATGTCCCTTAGCCATTTTCACTTCAATTAGGCGCTTTTGGTAGCCATCCACAAGCTTCTGGCAAGCTTCTGGTTGAATCTTTGACCACTCCTCTTGACAGAATTGGTGAAGTTCAGTTAAATTTGATGGCTTTCTGACATGGACTTGTTTCTTCAGCACTGTCCACATGTTTTCAATGGGGTTTAAGTCAGGACTTTGGGAAGGCCATTCTAAAACCCTTATTCTAGCCTGATTTAGCCATTCCTTTACCACTTTTGATGTGTGTTTGGGGTCATTGTCCTGTTGGAACACCCAACTGCGCCCAAGACCCAACCTTCGTGCTGATGAGTTTAGGTTATGTTGAAGAATGTGAAGGTAATCCTCCTTCTTCATTATCCCATTTACTCTCTGTAAAGCACCAGTTCCATTGGCAGCAAAACAGCCCCACAGCATGATATTCCCACCACCATGCTTGACTGTAGGCATGGTGTTCTTGGGGTTAAAGGCCTCACCTTTTCTCCTCCAAACATATTGCTGGGCATTGTGGCCAAAAAGCTCGATTTTTGTTTCATCTGACCACAGAACTTTCCTCCAGAAGGTCTTATCTTTGTCCATGTGATCAGCAGCAAACTTCAGTCGAGCCTTAAGGTGCCGCTTTTGGAGCAAGGGCTTCCTTCTTGCACAGCAGCCTCTCAGTCCATGGAGATGCAAAACACGTTTGACTGTGGACAATGACACCTGTGTTCCAGCAGCTTCTAATTCTTGGCAGATCTGCTTTTTGGTGATTCTTGGTTCACTCTTTACCCTCCTGACCAATTTTCTCTCAGCAGCAGGTGATAGCTTGCGTTTTCTTCCTGATCTTGGCAGTGATGAAACAGTGCCATGCACCTTATACTTACAAACTATTGTTTGCACTGTTGCTCTTGGGACCTGCAGCTGCTTTGAAATGGCCCCAAGTGACTTTCCTGACTTGTTCAAGTCAATAATTCGCTTTTTCAGATCCATGCTGAGCTCCTTTGACTTTCCCATTGTAGCGTTTGTGGGCGTTTGTATCCAATGAGCCCTATTTACCTGGCCTAAGAGAAGTCACCAGCTGTAGTCACTCATAATCACTCACAAGAAGTTAAGAGGCCATGCTATGAAGCTCAGTTCACTGACACGTTTCTAAGTCACCAAAATTGCTAGTTCATGTTGCTGTATGTATATTTGTGACCCAGCAAATGTGATCACTTTTCTCTGTTAACCCATAATAAAGACATTAAAGAACCAAACTTCATGAATGTTTTTTGTGACAAAGAAGTATCGGTTCCAATCACTCTATCAGAGAAAAATCAGAGTTTTAGAAATAACGGGACACTCAGTAGAGCCATTATATTATACTTTTTACAAGTGTATGTAAACTTCTGACCACAACTGTATATAACCTTGTCTTTAGTCACTGTTGTTATTGTAAACATAAGCCACAGGTCAGCTAGTAGGCCTAGCTTGTAACATTTGTTCCTACAGGTTTAGCAGCACAAATGAGCAAAAGCGAACCAAGGCAAATTTATTCATGAGTAATTATTCATATTAAATATATATGGGGTTCAATAATTGAGTTTAGAAATCCTACGGTGCTGACCAGCTGTTGGTGCGAGTCGATTGAATTTTGTAGAACTTGTTCATTTTGTTCTTTTAATCAAAGCGATTTGTACAACCAACAGCACAAGACATGACTGCAGCTCTTTCTGCCTCCAACACGCACATCAGCAGGAGCCAGGAGGTGAAGCGGACAGATAAGGAAGAGTCTATACATCAAACGGTTTTGATAGTAGAGAGTAGCATTTTGAATTTACGAGTCCTTGCAGGCCGCAGAACACAAAAATGTGATTTTTCTATTTAAAATATGCAAAAAATATATTATGGTGAATTTTTTTAATAAGCATAAAACTAAAATTCTGAACACAAAAGTGTTGTTGATCTACATCAGCGATTCCCTAAGTGTGGTGCGCGCACCCCTGGGGGCGCGCGAGCTGCCGCTAGGGGGTGCGCGAGGTGAAAAGTGTAATGGCTGCGGAGCTCAGAGAAGTCTGTCATATGTCACCATTAGCGTAGCCAGAAACTCATTTGTGGGCGGGCCTAAGAAAACGTAAGTGGGCCCAATAAATGTAATTGAAAACAAGTATATTTTGCTTGTGTGTGTGTGTGTGTGCATGCGTGCGTGTGTCCTCCACATGTGCCCTAGCTCCATAATAATAATGCGCTCCGAGCTTCAGCACTCTGACCTGCGCACGCTGTTAATAGCAAGATATGTTCAGTATTTGATCATTTTTATCGGTGTTGGAGAAATCTGAAGGTGGTGAGTCATTTTGGCAGATTGTAATTAACACCTGTCTCATGCAGGTGTTCTGACATTGTAAACCTCACACACAGAACATTGTGGATGTAACTAAATAAATCAAGAAATGATTCCCATTCAGGCTATTAACAGCGCGCTGAAGATCTGAAGTTCAGAGTGCGTCTGTCAGAGGTCAGATGCGTTCCAGCGGAACCACGGCTCACGGGTGCACATGTGAGCACATCTGGGCTGGGCAGAAGTAATTTTACAACATTGGTTTAAATAGCGCCAATAACGAGACGCAGTGACTGGAGCGGCTCATGGAGCTGTGCCGCACACACACAGACACACACACACACACATACTGATTCAACAAGCGCACACTGCGTTGTGCCGTCAGACTGAAGGCAGAAATGAGCGCTGCCGCTTCCGTGATAAACTTTTAAGAGGTTTTATAACAACATTTTTCATTCAAGGTCATATTAGCTTCTATTTTGGGATGACGTATGAAATTCGAGTCCGCTCCAGCCAGTGACTTCTCATGAACCTGACTACAACTCATGTTACTGCAGCATTTGTTATTCCAGTCCGCGTGGCAGCGGATCGCAGATTCAGCCACACCATAATCCAGCAATAAGTCGGTCTGAGGCAAAAGTGAACCTCATGGCTATAGCTTTTCCATCTTTTCCCCTGTAGGCATTTGATTACGCACAAGTAGGTGACCAGATCAGGTTTACGCAGAGCAGAAGGAAGGAGAGCGCTCTGGTTAAACGTTCCTGCTTTAAGAAAACCGTTAAATTGCATTTTTTATGTGCTACCTGGGCACTCTAAATATTGATTTAAAATTAAATCAAAGGAAATTGTAAAGGTATTGAATGCTTATTAATTACTATTTTAAAAATACATAATACATAAACATAAAAATGAAAGTGATGGAGAAAAAGGTCGATCATATTTGTTAACCGTCTGTCGAGTGACTGTTTAGCGTGACGTCTGATAAATATATATATATATAGCCATGCCCTGATGTGGGGCTGGGGGGTACGTCGACATGGTCGGGACATAGAAGGGGGTGCGCGCCGTGGCTAAATAAGTTTGGGAACCACTGATCTACATCAACATCCTGAAGAGATTCATATTGGAAATCACTCCAGAGGCAGCCCAAAACACCCACTCACATGTAGGACATGCCTGGTTTAGCACATAGTCATCTTCTACCTGACCACGCTACCTACCTGATGTTGTAAAGAGGCTGTGTCTGGTGAACCACGATGCTGCATGTTGGACACCTGTTGCTATGGAAGAAATGCTTCACGATGCAGGTTTTGCAAACTTTGGGGGAATGACAGAACCAAAAGTTAATTAGGCCAATTCTATAAGTCAGCTCAAGAAAAAAAAAACGTTTGAGTGAAGATCCACAAAGCCATGTTTGAGAGAACTCCTTATCTGTAACTCACATGTGTGCAGGCACTCTGTGATGGTGGTCGCATCGATGAAGAAACCGCAGCAAAGTGCACAACGAATGTACGGATATAATTGATTTATAGGGACTTTGACCTGTTGAAAGATTAATAAATTAAAATAAATGCAAAAACATCATGTTTAAACAAGCAAACCACCGAGATCTTGATCATTATCTGAACACGAGGAGGAGAAGGGTCAGGTAAACCTATGACTACTCAACACCTGTCAACATACCTCGTCCTCCGAGTGGCTCTCCAGAAAGGTCGTTTCTACGTCATGACTTATGTGCTCACATGGAGACGATGACATCCTTCCAACTCCTTTAAGCTGGAAAGCAAATGGCAAATAGTTTCTGTGACTTTAAATTCAAACTTGAGATAAACGGAGAACTTTTTTTCAGAACTTTAGTACAGCGAGCTGTGCTAGGCTAGTCTGCTAACGTTAGCCTGTAACACAATAAAGCCGCTGTCTTTATGTCGATGAATAAAAAAACGAATATTGAATGCAGCCTCTGAGCAAATATTACCGACAAAGGCGCGAAAGAAGTCCTCCTTTTGTAACTAAGTCCGTATAAGTCCACTTTCCAGTTATATCACATAAATCTCTGCTTACTGTGTTGCTTCAACATCTCTAGAATCTTTTCTCTCGCGCTCAGGTCACAGCTAGTGGAGCGTCATAGCTTCCGGTCTAAAATTTTCAAAATAAAACGTTCCCTCTTTTTAAATTTGGTGTTGTTTTGTACCATAAACTCTGCCAGAGAAAGTTGCAGGTTAGAGCCCCCTTAAACCAGTGTTGAGAGAAATATAATAGGAACTCGTTCTCCATCCATCCATCCATCCATTTTATCTGGGGTCGGATCACGGGGAAAGGGAGCCCAGACTTCCCTCCCCAGCCACTTGGACCAGCTCCTCCTGGGGAATCCTAAGGCGTTCCCTGACCAGCCGTCAGACATATTCTCTCCAGCGTGTCCTGGGTCTTCCTTTAGGTCTCCTCCTGGTTGGACGTGCCTGGAAAACCTCACCAGGGAGGCATCCAGGAAGCATCCTAACCAGATGCCCGAGCCACCTCAACTGGCTTCTCTCGATATGGAGGAGCAGCGGGTCTACTCCGAGCCCCTCCAGGATGACCGAGCTTCTCGCCCTATCTCTAAGGGAGAGCCCAGCCACCCTGCAGAGAAAACTCATTTTGGTTGCTTGTATCTGCGATCTTGTTGTTTTGGTCACTACCCAAATCTCGTGACCATAGGTGAGGGTAGGAACGTATATAGACTGGTAAATTGAGACCTTTACCTTCTGGCTCAGAGCTCTCTTCACCACGACAGATCGGTACAGCGCCCGCATCACTGCAGACGCAGCACAGGTGGATTACCTGTCGATCTCACGCTCCATCTTTCCCTCACTCGTGAACAAGACCCCAAGACACTTACTCCTCCACTTGGAGCAGGACCTCATCGCTGACCTGGAGAAGGCATTCTACCCTTTTCCGACTCAAGACCATGGTCTCAGATTTAGAGGAGCTGATTCTCATCCCAGCTGCTTCACACTCGGCTAGAAAACGCTCCAATTAGAGCTGGCGGGGTGGCAGCCCAGGGAGGGGAGGAACTCATTTTAAATAAAAACAAATTCCTTTCAAAGGAGAAATCCCTAAAAATGACTGAAAGATGAATAGTACACCTGATAAACCTATGGTTTGGTATGGCTGTAGTTATGCTGCTATCTTAGACCGCTGGAGGATACACTGACCACTTTCCACACTCGACTACTTTCTTCTACAATCTGCTCTTTAACTGTATTACTTCCTGCTATTTCAGCTGTTAACTTTATTTTTTCTCTAAGTGTTTTTCTCCCCAGAAGAAGCTACAATGATGTTCTACTGAGCTGTGGTGCCCTCATGGAGGGGGCCATCTTCTAGCCCAGTGTTTCCCAACCTTTTTCCCAAGGGACCCCTTTTTTACGAGTAAAATTTTTGACGAACCCCTCCCATTCTCTCTTCCAGTACAAACAGTATTAAGAAATGACAAAATTGTTCAAGCACATTTTAATATGCTTTGATTCAATAGGTAACAGTAATAGTAGGCTCCAGTACAGAACAAAGTCATTAACAAAACCAAACAGAGCATAATGTGCTTGACAGTTTGTATTACTTTTGTTTCTTGTAAACACTGATAAATCAATCATTCCTTTCAATAAACATTTGACACATAAAAAATACACTGAGCAAAATGTACTTAAAAGTGTATATTACTGTTTATACTAGATTATTTACTGTAAAGGCTGTGATTAATCAACCAGTCCTATCTTTAATGAACTTTTGACACTTGAAAATAAAACAGTGAGCTGAGCAAAATGTTCTTAAAAGTGTGTTACTTTTTCTGTATTAATTATTTCCTGTCTTGATATCAGTAAACTTTTCACTCATGAAAAAAATTGTGAGCAAAATGTAGGCTATAAACAAGTAATAAATGAAGTTTTAACCCCTTAAAGTGGAGAGGTCCTGGCGACCCACTGATTAGCTTTGGCGCCCCTTGTGGGGGTCGGGACCCCCAGTTTAGGAACCACTGTTCTAGCCCACTGCTGCCAACCATTCTCCCTCTCCTGATAATAACACTTTACTCTTTTTGACATTGAATGTGCTACTACTAGTTTACCCGTTTAATTATATATTCACTAGGATACATACAATAAAGTTTATCTTTCACCAAATAAAATATTTACTAAGAAATCACAATGTAATCATAGAAACACTACGTGGTATATATGGTGTGTGTGTGTGTGTGTGTGTGTGTGTGTGTGTGTGTGTGTGTGTGTGTGTGTGTGTGTGTGTGTGTGTGTGTGTGTGTGTGTGTGTGTGTGTGTGTGTGTGTGTGTGTGTGTGTGTGTGTGTGTGTGTGTGTGTGTGTGTGTGTGTGTGTGTGTGTGTGTGTGTGTGTGCGTGCTCTGTCTTCTCCATCCCCAGTGAGTCGTGGAGGATGGCTGCTTATACTGAGCCAGGATCCTCTGGAGGTTTCTTCCTGTTAAAAGGGAGTTTTCCTCTCCTCTGTCACTGCATGCTTGCTTAGTATGAGGATGGCTGTAGACTCTGACAGTCAGTGACTTGATGCAATTTGCTGGGTTCCTTATATAGGAAACTTTTTTCTGATTGGCTTAATGAACTGACCTGTGTTGGAATGTTTACTATGTGAAGGTTCTTGAGACGACTTTTGTCGTGATTTGGCGCTTTATAAATAAACTTAAATTAAATTGAATTTCTGCCAAACCGAAAGTAATGTCACTGGAAAAGACCTGTAGAACCCAACACGTCGTCGTTGTCGTCGTCTTCCTCCGCTTATCCGGGTCCGGGTCGCGGGGGCAGCATCCCAACTAGGGAGCTCCAGACCGTTCTCTCCCCGGCCACCTCCACCAGCTCCTCCGGCAGGACCCCAAGGCATTCCAAGACCAGATTGGAGATGTAACCTCTCCAACGTGTCCTGGGTCGACCCAGGGGCCTCCTGCCGGCAGGACATGCCCGAAATCCCTCCCCAGGGAGGCGTCCAGGAGGCATCCTGACCAGATGCCCAAACCACCTCAACTGGCTCCTTTCGATCCGGAGGAGCAGCGGTTCTACTCCGAGTCCCTCCCGAATGTCCGAGCTCCTCGCCCTATCTCTAAGGCTGAGCCCGGCCACCCTACGGAGGAAACTCATTTCGGCCGCTTGTATCCGTGATCTCGTTCTTTCGGTCATTACCCAAAGCTCATGACCATAGGTGAGGATTGGGACGTAGATCGACCGGTAAATCGAGAGCCTGGCTTTCTGGCTCAGCTCCCTCTTCACCACGACAGACCGGCTCAGCGTCCGCATCACTGCAGATGCTGAACCAATCCACCTGTCAATCTCCCGATCCCTCCTACCCTCACTCGTGAACAAGACCCCGAGATACTTAAACTCCTCCACTTGAGGTAGGACCTCTCTCCCGCCCCGGAGTTGGCAAGCCACCCTTTTCTGGTCGAGAACCATGGTCTCAGATTTGGAGGTGCTGATCCTCATCCCAGCCGCTTCACACTCGGCCGCGAACCTACCCAGCAAGAGCTGAAGGTCAGAGCTGGATGAAGCTAGGAGGACCACATCATCTGTAAAAAGCAGAGACGAGATTCTCCTGCCACCAAACTCAACACACTCCACACCACGGCTGCACCTAGAAATTCTGTCCATAAAGGTAATGAACAGAATCGGTGACAAAGGGCAGCCCTGGCGAAGTCCAAACCTCACTGGGAACAGGTCCGACTTACTACCGGCTATGCGGACCAAACTCACGCTCCTCTGGTAAAGGGACTGAATGGCCCTTAACAGAAGGCCACCCACCCCATACTCCTGGAGCGTCCCCCACAGGGTGCCCCTAGGGACACAGTCATAAGCCTTCTCCAAATCCACAAAACACATGTGGATTAGTTGGGCAAACTCCCATGCCCCCTCCATCACCCTTGCAAGGGTATAGAGCTGGTCCACAGTCCCACGGCCAGGACGAAAACCACATTGCTCCTCCCCAATCTGAGATTCAACTATCGATCAGACCCTCCTCTCCAGTACCTTGGAGTAGACCTTTCCAGGGAGGCTGAGGAGTGTGATCCCCCTATAGTTGGAACACACCCTCAGGTCACCCTTCTTAAAGATGGGGACCACCACCCCGGTCTGCCACTCCACAGGAACTGCCCCCGATGACCACGCAAAGTTGCAGAGACGTGTCAACCATGACAGCCCTACAACATCCATAGCGTTGAGATCCCCAGGACGAACCTCGTCCACGCCCCGGGGCTTCTCCACTGTGTAGTTGTTTGACTACCTCAGCAACTTCTGCCCCCGAGATTGGACAGTCCATCCCCAGGTCTCCCGGCTCTGGTTCCTCCTCAGAATGCGCATAGGTGGGATTGAGAAGCTCCTCAAGTATTCCTTCCACCGTCCGACTATAGCCCCAGTTATGTCAGCAGCTCCCCATCCCCACTGTAAACAGTGTGAGCGAGTTACTAACTAAAACTTTATTTATATAGCACCTTCACATGGCCCAAGGACCAAACAAAGCGCTGCACAGCAGAAATAAGCATTAAAAAATAAATAGATAAAATAAAAAATAAAAACACATAAAATAGGGATGAGCCGGATACTCGTCTGAACAGATAAAGCATTTTTGACGAGTACGAGCATGAAACGAGTAAAACGAGTAAATATCTGTAATCGTGCTGAAGGAAAATCCTCATTGGGTAACTGACTGTCTTCACGCTCTGTGATTGGCCAGTCACATAGAGCGCCCGCCCCTCCCAACACACAAAACTCTGCACCAGGAGGAGCTCAGTCCGCGTCCGGTCCATCCAAGCACACACAGAGACAGTAACGGATCTCTCTGTGCTTGCTTCACTGTTGCTCACATTTCTTCAGTTCGCCTCTTTTCAAAGTTACTTTAAAGTTATTTAAAGTTATTGTTTTTCGTAACATACGTGGTGCTTTTGACAAGACAGAGCTGAAAAAGGCTCGTGCTGCGTCAGTCACTATCTCCGCTCCGGTCTGGGGGTTTTTTTTCCCTCTCTCTCCTCTTCCTCAGAATCCACTCCCTCTTTCCTATTCACTGTCTCTCTCTCTCTTTCTTTACATTTTTTAATCACAATTGTCTATTTTTTGCTCATTTTAAATACATTTTAATCATTTTCTAAATTC